GTATTAAAACATAAAATTGCCGCGCAGGTTCCCACTGCCATCTTTAACGTCTGCAGAGCGCGGAGCTTATCAGAAACTGAGGGAAATCTAAATTAAATCTTCCCCGTGAATGGGATTAGCCTCATCATTATCTCTTGTCATTCTCAAACATTACAGTTAGTTATTAGAAAGTAAAGACACATTTGTCAATGGAATGTGCACAGACTGCATTAAAACAAGCAGCAGTCGGAGTGTTATTGAATAGGATTTCAGGCTTATCAGCCAGGCAGCGGGGATTTTGGAATGGACCATGCTGAAAGGAGACATTCTTCATCATCAAAACAATATTTACAAATGATCCAATGCGAGATGAGAGGTCATTGGTAGGACATGTGAGATGCAGCTGTTATGAGGAGACCGGCTTTGGTTGCTGGTTCAAACCCCTCAAAAAGAAAAGACGTTCGTACAGCACAGCGAAAGAAAAGTGGTGGGTAACCTTTCTGTACCTTTACGTTTTAGGTTTAAAGACACAGGAAGGTTTGTTTTCCTCATAAAGTCCATTACAAAACTCCTACCAGCAGTTTAAATGTACCTTAATGGAAGACTTTCCCCCGAGTTTACCCACGTTAATCTTACCAAAGCAAGGCTTGTGGAGATGAACGAGCTCCCCGAGGCTTCAGGAATCTTCATTCCCATTGCTTGGCTTCCTCCCGCAGCAGGCAGCTGTTTTTGAGTGCTGTACACTAAACAACTTAGAGACACAGTTGGCCACTAGCCGGTGAAAACGGAGGAGGATTTAGCAGCTGAAGAGCCATATATTTCCCTCGGGAGCTGGAAGAGACCAAAAACAGCTACGCAGATAGATCAGGTGGACAGAATAAAGACTCCAAATGAGCGGTCATGTTGCTCTGCGTCTGCTGGATGTATAAATAAGCCATCGCTGACTTGAAAGCTTATTGTATGTCAATGTTGCGTTCCCAGGTGTGGACGGTTTGCAACAGATCAGTTATCGCATGATCGACCACAGCTACAGAGTCAATTGGGCACAAGATGGTTACACAGGTCAAAGCACAAGAGACCTTCAGACTGTTGGTGCTTTTTACTTCCAGATCCTGTTGGTGGAGCAAAGATTTACAAGCAGAGAATGACAGATGAAGGACGGCAACAAACAAAGGCATTCCATACTGTATTGAGAGTTGCAAATCCCTCCTTCCACCGACACATAGTCACACACACACACACACGCACACACACATACACACATGCACAGACTTCTCTGAGAGAAAGTTACTCTCACATAGATGCATGCCGTTGCAGAATTTGCATCTGAATACCAACTTTTGTTGGTAAATTCAAGGGTCCTTGGAGATTTTGCACATTCTGTTCAGAGCTCGGCAGGCCAATGGGGACAAAGTCACACATTAGCAAAGCCCTGCCAGCCTCAATTATGACCGAAGGGATTGGCTCTATAGTGCTGCAGCGGGCCACATTCAGAGCGCTATGTGTTTATTTCAACTTCCCCGGCCACTTCCTTCACGATTTTACGGCACTAGAACACGTTGGGAAGCAAATTTCCTGCATTGAGAAACGAGAGATGCTGAGATTCTCTGTTCCTGCAATCTTTTTTTCTTTTTTTTACCTCTATTTCAAATAGAAGCCTTGCTCCGTCAATCAAGTTTTCATTACCGGGAAAAATCCATCTGCAATGATGGTGCTCAGGCTTTGTTCTCTCCAAACTACATGCGTCGAGGATCCTTCCCTTTCCCGCACTCTGCCTTTTCTATCTATCGCTCTCAGAACACTTGTGATAGAGAATCCAGGAGTCTGGCTTCCAGCTTGTGGGCTTTCTCCTCCATATTTCATATGCATAATGAGACACAGCCGATTAAATTGCAAGTGTACGCCATGGCTTGTCCTCCTTCAATATGTAATAAATGTCCCCCCCCCCCCCCCTCTTTGGTTTTCTCATATTCTGTCTGTGTTCTGTGCCTTCTCGGGGCGCTGCAGATTGGATGAATCAAACTTTCTGCCTGTCCCAGAGCCCGAGGTGTTTTATTTATCAGAGGAAAAAGTACATTAACGCCCCTGCAAAGTCTTTGGGAGATTTATCAAGCGCCCCCCCCCCCCCGCATCCTCGCCGCCTCACTTCAATGTGAAGTACAGATGTGTGTTGTCGGGCAGTGTAACTTACTGTCGGAAGTTTTCACCCCACCACTCTCGCCTCCGTCTTAACATCACGCCCGTGCTGTGACATGGCCGGCTCCGTTGCCACTGCATTTATAATTCAGTCCCATTAATAAGAGATGGAGGGCATTAAGTTTTCATCTGATGATGCAGTGCTGCCGTCTCTTGGAGCCTCTTTACAAGCAAAAGACTGAAGAGCAAAACTTTTTCTTTCTCTGGTCTGACTTCCAGGCATCACTTGGCATTAGAATAACCTGAGACGATCCTCGTTCCGACAACATGCTTTTAGAAGCTTATTCCCTGTGATCTCATATTCTGCCAGCTTACTCCCGAGCCCTTCCCCTCCGAGCCCCCCCCTCCCCCGGCCTTTAATGAGTTTTGCTGAGTTATATTTACTCGTCTCGTCTGATGCTTCTGTCTAAATGGCAAAAAAAAAAAAAAATCCCTCTTTCACTCTGCGTTGTCGGGCTGAATCAGCATTGTCGTCTGCTAACTTACTTAGCGGAAAGAGCTGATGTGGGCAGATCTCTGTCAGGCAGACGAGCTCCGAACCATCCCAGTGTACCGGAGCAACATGGCCGGCCGTGCATTCTGCATGTGTACAAACCATCGCGCTGGTCATGCTCTTCTGTTCTCCGGATTCCTCTAATGGCCGCCGTCCACGTCTGCTTTTCCACACGTCTTTTAAGTTGTAATTGCCTCGGTCTGTTTGGACGTTGCGGTTTCTTCTTCTTTCGTCGTTGCGGTTTCATGTGGCATCTGCCACCCGCAGAGATAAACAATACCAGTAGATAAAAGCGAGAGGGAGAGAGCAATCTGGAAGGAAAGGACTGCATGTGTCAGTTTGAGCTGATAAAAGACCGAAAATCCAATTAGTCGTCGGTATCGGGGGGGGAAGGAGGAGGCCCCACGAGAGTAATGTCAGAGAATATCTACCACCGTTGCATGTCAATAACAGAGCATTTCCATACATAGCTATTGATAGATCAGCGTGTAAAACCGAGTTGGATTTCTTCTTGTAAATCGGGGCTGTGTTTGGTGCTCTTCTCTAGCGGGCTTTTGCCCACATCAGCTTTTTGAATAGATAAACAACTATCAAAGGAAATTGCTGTACCTCCCACACCACCAACCAGCCCAGAAGAAGGGGAAATGGCCCTATCCGAGCATTCCTCCGTTACTGCAGATGTCCTGGAATCCATTCTGGTGATGGGCTGTTCACTGCTGCCAGAGCTGGTTAAATCTGTGTTGTTCTTTTACCAAGTTATTTTCTTTTTTTTTTGTCCTGTTTTCATCCCGCGCCAGGAATGAAGCAGGGAAGCGGGCAGGAAGAGAGACCCAGAAATGAGCAAGGACGATATCAAACAGGCACCGTCGCTCTGGTCGGAGCTCATGTGCTCCTCCGGGAGGAGTAGTGCGCGTGTGATTTGTGCGCGTGTGCCTGGCACGTATGTGCGTGCATGCGTGGTTTTTGAGGAGGACAGAGGACATGTGTGCTGCAGTTGCGTGCGTGTCCATCTGGACGCGGTTGCATGTGTGTGGCTGTTGGTGTACAGTGTCTGTATACCAGAGAGAAGTGTTGTGGTTGTGGTGTTGTCATAGCCTTCATCCTGTGGCTGCGTACTCCTTGTGGACTCACACACACACACACACACACACACACACACACACACACAATGCTCAAACCCCCACCGTGAGCATCTGGGTGGGCACGCTGATGCTGCTGCTTGTACATTGTGTATATGATGGTCATATGAGGCTGCTATTGCTGCTACGATGATGTGTCATGATTAAATAAGCTCAAAACTCAACGCTTCAGCGATTTAATATTAAAATGTAGGCAAAATAAAATGAAATGATGTCATGTATCAATATGCATGTCCTATCTAATATTTAACAGTAATTGTTTAAAAATTGCACAATTGTCTAAGACATGTTGTTGTCTGCTGAGATTTAATGATTTGACACTTGAATAGTATCAATCGAGAAAGGAAGCAATGCTCTAGTTTCATTGCTTTGTTTTGTATCTCACATTCATTTGTTTGGCGAGTAAGGTGCGGCTGCTACAGCAGTTGCCATGGTAAACTCAGAGGGGACATACTGTTAATGAGGAAGACTTATTAGAGAACTAAGAGGATTTTAGTGTAATTTTTGTAAACTGCATGTAGAGATTAGTTATGAAAAAGCTCCATTTAACACGTACTTGACTCTAATTGTTATGTTAAACTCGCACATGGTGAGCAGAATTAGCAATTTTCAACACATCTGGAGGCAGTTTTATTGTCCCTAGTAATATTACCATATTAATATCCCCTGCTTTCTTTTCCCACACATACTTCCACAGTTCTTTCTGCCACTGTGTTATTGTAGTCTGAGTAATTTAAAGTCAGCGCTTTCTGATCTTCAGAACCTGAGTCTTGTCCTTCTGTTCATTGACCCCTGTCTCCATGTTCCTCCTCTTCTGCCCTCCCTCCTTCACCTCTGCCCCCCACACACCCGTCGTATCAACCCTAACCCTCTCAGGGGGAGGCGAGTCCCGATCTGGCCCAGGGCCCAGGCCCATTAGCCCCGGCCTGGCAGCCATGTGCTCATCACCAGAGATCATTACACCCAGCCAGTGACACCACTCTAATGCATCATTAATGATTGATTAACGAGCTGAGCTCAGCCCAAACCTGAGCATTTGTGCGGAAGAGCACCCTGTAATGGCTGTCCAAGGCTGGCATCTGCTATTGTTCCCCATGTTGTGTGTGCATCCATGTGTGTGTGTGTGTGTGTGTGTGCGCCTTTGTGCCTGCGGTTTTATTCTCATCAGTCTCCCTCCGTGTCCCGTCTCCCAGGTTGAGTGAGGGTGCCGCAGACTCCCGCGTGTGAGACGAAGGACCGAGGAGGTGACTGCCGGCTGGCGCGATGGCAGGGCTCCCTCTTCTCCTCCTCCTTCTCGTCCCGGCGGGAATCCTTCTCCCCGCGGCCAACGGCTCCGGCTACCTGTCGGGCTATCGGCAAAAGTCGCGCCTGCAGAAGGACCGCCACTTCCGCAACATCCGGCCCAACATCATCCTCATCCTCACCGATGACCAGGACATAGAACTGGGTAAGACGTTCTCCGCCATTAATCCTTTCCCGTGTGTTTCCTGTCTCTCTCGCTCTCTCTCCGTTTGCATAATGTCTGTGTCCCATGGGTATGGGTACTCTCGCCATGTGTATCCAACAGCATCAGTGAGGGAAAGTCAGCCTAATGCTGCCTCTTGGCATCATAACAAGCGGCCCTCTCAAAGTCATGTGCTCCCTTTGCCAGCCCCTCCAACGCTGGCATGAAACGAGGGCGGCCTATGGCTTTCATTGTCCGGGTGCCAGATCTTGGCCATCTCCCTTCCCGCTTAGGTCCTTTAGCGGCGTATTGGACTGGAGGGGCTGCATAATGGCCTCTGTGACATCTTTTGTCCCGCTGTGATCGCTAGTGAGAAGACTCTCATTGAAAAGGAGGAATTTATGGTCAAGCATCTGTTTTCCCAAACAATCACCATCAGCCTGAAAAGCTTTTAGTACACAGCAATCCAAACAGGTTACATTTCACCACGAAGATTTATTTACTCATGTAAGTTTTTCCAAACCCTAATGGTTTTAGCTCTTTACCCATCGTGGCCTATATTCCCCCAATTTCTCACTCTTATTTTCCCCCCTTCTCCAACCGTTTTACATCGCCCTGCGTCCCTTTCATTTTCCACCTTGGCCTTTGAATCTCCTCTCACCCTCCTTGCCCTTCTTACAACCCCTCCTACCCTCCCTCTCCCGCCTCCTCTGGTTTTTCGCCCCGTTCTCTCCCAGGCTCGATGCAGGCCATGAACAAAACCCGGCAAATCATGGAGAAGGGCGGCACGCATTTCTCCAACGCTTTCTCCACCACGCCCATGTGCTGCCCGTCCCGCTCCTCCATCCTCACGGGGAAATATGTGCACAACCACCACACCTACACGAACAACGAGAACTGCTCCTCGCCCTCGTGGCAGGCGCACCACGAGCCGCACACCTTCGCCGTGCACCTCAACAACTCCGGCTACAGGACAGGTGAGCGCTCCGGCTCTGACCTTTGAAGGTCAACGTGGACTCGGGTACTTAGCGTAGATGCGTCGAGCACAAAGACCAAAATGAACACGCCGCTCGCCTTGTTCCCCCACTCAGCCTTCTTCGGGAAATATCTGAACGAGTACAACGGCTCCTATGTGCCCCCTGGCTGGAAGGAATGGGTAGCGCTGGTGAAGAACTCTCGCTTCTACAACTACACCCTCTGCAGGAACGGAGTACGAGAGAAACACAGCGGCGTCTACTCAAAGGTATTTAACCGCTCCACCGGAGAGATAGCGTGCTAAGCACTTTGAGAGGGTTTAGCACGCTATCTCCACCCTAATACGTGAAGTGAACATGTGTTAACCATAATTATTGAGTAGTTACAAAGAGTCGGACAGAAGGCATATTAAGTCCCCTGTGGGTCAGTTTTTTAGACACAGTATTGTTTTTATACAGTAGAGTTTGGGCATCTTGTTAGACACACACCAGGTCAGCAACGGGCACAGACCCAGAAAAGCCCCGAGCCGTCTGTCACTCGCCGAGCGCCTGATGGACAACGTCTGCTCGCTCCGCAGGACTACCTGACAGACGTCATTACCAACGACAGCACCAACTACTTCCGCATGTCCAAGAGGATGTATCCTCACCGGCCCGTCATGATGGTCCTGAGCCACGTGGCGCCGCACGGTCCAGAGGACTCCGCCCCGCAGTACAGCACCGCTTTCCCCAACGCATCGCAGCACATGTGAGCAAAACATCAAATCCGTCATCGTGACCGATCAAGCTTGTGTCTTCAGACTGCGGCTGTTTTTTGGACAGTTTTCTCTTTAAACTGGACTGGTCTTTTGTCCGTTTATTGTGTGCTGATTTGTTTCATGGCAGACAAACACACAGGTATTTGCTCGCGTGTGAGTCATCAACGCGTTCAGACTCCCTTTTCGTTTGACCCAGAATGTCACAAATTCCATAATCTCACGTAGATCTGATCTTGATCTCTTGGCAGCTGAGCCCTCTCCATGCACGGCCCATGTTACGCCTCAGTATCTCTGGCTCATGGGTTGTTGACATTAGCGTAATCACTGCAAATTTGTACCACTTTGTCAGCAGTGATCAAAGTGATGCATGAATTATGTATGTTTAATGCATAGGTAATTACCCCACAAACACACACACACACAAATGTCCGCCCAGGTCCTCCCGACCCTCCATATTCCTGACTTGCTGGCTGGTGCTGCTGGTTAATGGCAAGCCTGATATTGGCCCCCAGAGACAGATACGAGGGCAGTAATGAGACATTTCTCCCCCTCCTTCCAACTCAGACCCCTTCCAACTCCTTTCTCGTGATTTGTCTAATCCCTCCAGCATCGTTAACCTGTGCCACGCAGGCTTTACACATAGAATATTCTGTAAATTAAGCCCTAGTGTCTTTGTGCAAACTTTTAATTGCTCTTTCTCCATAAATTTTCTCTCCCTCGGGTGATGTCTCCGGAATGTGCTTCTTTGGCTATTTGTCTCCCTCCATCTCCCTCCACTCCTATCAACCAAATAAGGAGAGAGGCTGTAAAAGTCATGAGCTGCTCTAGTGATAAACCCTGTCTTCACCCCGGCTCCTTGCAGACGCATCTTCACACTACATCAGAGTTTCCATTGTGGCTGTGGGACATTTCTTAAAAGTCAGATCGATTTAACTTTAAACCTTAAATATATTTTCTTCTCGGATCCCATTAGCTATTTAGCAGTATTTATTCTCAAATAATTAAAGTTCCATATGGCCCGCAGTGAATTATTGATCGGACTGTGCTCACCGTGTTCAGTCCTATCGATTACACTGCGTCGCATTATACATGGTTTATGTAACCTCCAGTTTAGCATTGCATAAACAGTATGCTTGTTACTTTCGAAAGAGAAGAATAGGAGACATCGGCAGACACCGGCAGAGGATATTGCTGTGAATGCACAATGTAACTCCACACACACTGGTACATTTTCTATAATCCAATTAACAGCAGCACAATATGAACATCGTATCTGTAGAGGTGCATAAAAAGGACCCACATGCAAATGTATTCAGATTTGTTTTTAAACCGCATTTTTTTCTCTCACTGTGATTTAGTTTGATGTTTTTCCACCTCTTTCAGAACCCCGAGCTACAACCACGCCCCCAACCTCGACAAACACTGGATCCTACGCTACACAGGAGCCATGAAGCCCGTCCACATGCAGTTCACCAACATGCTGCAGCGCCGCAGGATGCAGACCCTGCTCTCTGTGGACGACAGTGTGGAGAAGGTAGGCGGACGAGCCGGCAGATGGAGATGTGCTCAAACACAGACACACACGCATACGCACACACTCCATCTTGACAGTCTCAAGTCCTGTGAGATCGGCGGTTGTATAATGTATTCACCGACACTTTCCTTGAAACTGGCACAGGAGACTTGAGCGATCACACGTGAGGTGTAACTTTTTTTAATACCGTTTGGGGTGTTAAATTAATGATACCCTCCTCCGCAGCTGTACAACATGTTGGTGGAGACGGGGGAGCTCGACAACACCTACCTGATTTACACCTCAGACCACGGCTACCACATCGGGCAGTTTGGTTTGGTTAAAGGCAAATCGATGCCTTATGAGTTTGATATCCGGGTTCCCTTCTTCGTACGAGGACCCAACGTGGAGCAAGGTGCCACGTGAGTGACACTTCTCTGTTATGCAATACATATTATGATGTCTACACGCTGTGTTCCAATACGATGTGTGAGATCGTCGACCTTGTGATTGTTTTCCTGATCGTTGTCCTAGCAGATGAAAATATCCCCTCATTCTTGCTTCACTGCAGTAATCCTCATATAGTGTTAAACGTCGACCTGGCACCAACTATGCTGGACATGGCCGGTGTTGATATTCCCGCAGAAATGGATGGCAAGTCTATCCTGAAGCTGCTGGACACAGACAAGCCAGTCAATAGGTGAACACTACACACATTCATTCCACCTAGCGCGCTGGCATTCAACCTACATTTCAACAATGACATTCACAATGTTGCAGATTAGATATTCCTTTTCTGGACTTTGTAAGTTGTACTAGAACTCTGTTGTGTGGTTTTCTTTGGGATAATGAACAATCCATAAATAAACAGGGAACACCGCTTCCTTTTCAAGGCAACACCAAGATGACATTTGAAAATGGAGAGGGTGTTTGTTCAGCGCAAATATCCCCAGAGTGGTGTGACAGGACTTTTCTTTTTTCTGTTAAATCATTTCGCAGGTTCCAGCTGAACAGGAAGGGTAAAACATGGAGAGATTCTTTCCTGGTGGAGAGGGGGTATGTTTTATTGATTGACCTTTCAGAGCACATGTTTTCAGTCAAAGGACTGTCGGTTGGTGACATCACACCCCTTCGCTTAGGTTGGCTGGGAGAAAAAGACAGAAATGCACGTGTCTTTCTGTTCTTTTAGGAAGCCTCTGCACAAGAGAGGAGAGGAAATGGCCCAGGAGGAGAACTTCCTGCCAAAATACCAGCGGGTGAAGGACCTATGCCAGAAAGCAGAGTACCAGACCTCCTGCCAGCAGCCAGGACAGGTGCCTGACCTACAGCATCTCAGAGAGAGGGATTATTAAAGTTTCTGGGGAACAACATGAGGTGTAGCTCATGCAGGGTCATCATTTGCAATCTGTTTGTGCAATTTACTGAGTATAATATGCAGTTGTTGGGCTCTATTGGACTTCAAAGTCTCTCTTTTAATCCTTATAAATTATGGGTGCCGAGTATAACGTGTGGGTGTATCTGTATGTGTGTGTGTGTGTGTGTGTGAGAATGGTGGCTGAAATTAAGCTTATTTATGTGTAACTCAGCCCATAAAGAACATTTTGAGTCAATCGGTTTCTATGCATTAAAAAACAATGCTCTGGGACAGTAGAAGCCGAAAGACCCAATGTCATGAACCTTCTCCCCGCCTTGTTTCAGAAGTGGCAGTGTGTGGAGGACCCGACTGGCAAGCTGAGGCTGTATAAGTGCAAGGGCATGGCTGGTCTCTATGCTCCCCGCATGCAGGCTCTGATGGCCCGCGGTGCCGCCCGCGTCCAGCTGTCTCCCACTACCGACGCCGACATCTGCAACTGCGACGACGTGGGCTTCAAAACGTCCTTCCTGAAGAGGAAGAGGCTGCTCACCAAGAAGAGTGAGTTCCTCTTGTCACTCACACCCACCATTGTTCTGGGGGTTTTAAATAGAAGTGATTTTTTTCTTCGAAAAGACACTTTGAAATGTCCTTGCAGCCTTCAAAGCCTTGCCAAACAAGGCCATTAATCTCAAGCTGAAATAACCATCTTTTGAAGTATTCATGAGATGCGGAGCATGTGTCAGTGCTGCCATCAAGTGGTGGACTAGAGTGGATAAGTGAGTCTTTAATCTTTTGGCCTTCAAAGAAAATCACAGAAGATTGTAAATTATCGAGAATTATACTGAAGTGAATGCAGCTCACATCAACGCTGCTGTCTTTTTTATATGCGGGTCCTCACTTTTCTACATCGTCGGAGACCTTGATCATCCGCATCAGAAACCTAATTGCGCTTTTTTTGCTCCCTCCATCTCCCCCAGATCCCTCCGTCTCGTCTTATTCAGACTTGAAATCCAGTAAGACCGTCTCTAGGAAGCGCTGGGCCCGCTCTGTGTCATTTGAGCTGGACGGCGACCTGTACGCCGTAGACCTAGAGGAGGGCTACCGGCCCCTGGGCTCCAGGAACAGCAGCAGGGCCACACACAGGAGGAGAGGAGAGGGCAACGAGGAGGACAACGATGAGTTCAGTGGCATGGGAGTCACATCCAAACCCTCCGCCAGCAGTAAACCGACGCCGCCCGCTGCTCTTAAAGTCACCTACAGGTGCTAATGCGCACAACCTTCAGCATTCATGTGTCATGAAAGACGAAACGTTATGCAGATGCATGAGTCAGAGTGGTGCTCATCATTTTTGTTCTTTTTTTCCTGCAGGTGCTCCATTCTTATGAATGACACAGTGAAATGTGATGGGGGCCTGTACAAGTCTCTTCAAGCTTGGAAAGACCACAAACTGCACATTGAGCATGAGGTACGGCTGCGTTGTTAAATCTAAGCCCGTTGAGGCCATTTCCCAGGTTGTTAGTAGCGGACGGTAGGTAATGGGTGTTGTCTGGCTGTGTGTTTGTTGCCTTTAGATTGAAACCTTGCAGACCAAAATCAAGAACCTGCGTGATGTCAAAGGTCACCTGAAAAAGGTGCGGCCAGAGGAATGTCAGTGCAACACACCCAGGTGAGAATGCGTCCAGACACGGCACCAGTCGCCTGCAGAGAGATCTAATTGCGTATGTGACCGTTGTTTTTTTGTCTTTACAGTTACCTCCCCAAAAATAAGGAGATTTTCAGGTTCCATGAAGGTCGCAAGCACTCTCACAGGTAGAGATTTACATTGTTTGACGTTTCTTTTTTTTTTTTATTTCCTCTCGCAGTCTCACTGTTTTGTTTTCATCAGAATGCCGTCAAAGCAGAAGAGCCAGTGGCTGCAGAAAGAGCAGAAGCGCCGAAAGAAACTACGCAAATTCCTGAAAAGGCTCCAAAACAACGACACTTGCAGCATGCCGGGCCTCACTTGTTTCACCCATGACAACCATCACTGGCAGACGGCCCCCTTCTGGACAAGTGAGGAACAACATATGAATGTTTAAAGAGATTTGAAGACTATCGTTGTGGGACTTTTAAACATCTTGAAAACCAAGTTACAGTAAAAGTGTTTTTGGGATTGTGTCGTAATAATAGCCTTTGTTTTCCACCCCCCCCCCCTCCCTCCCTCAGTGGGTCCATTCTGTGCATGCACCAGTGCCAACAACAACACGTATTGGTGCCTGAGGACCATCAATGACACACACAACTTCCTGTTTTGTGAATTTGCAACCGGCTTCCTGGAGTATTTTGACCTCAACATTGACCCGTACCAGGTACGGCATGTGCACGCACACTACTCTGTGGCGCATGCAGAAATAACTTATAACCAATAACAACTACAAAATTCATCCCACGACCGGATTCATAGTACATTCCTGTGAGCACACGGGTACAGGTTTTCTCGCAGAGATTTTCCAAAGCACTGGGTGACATTCTGTCCTTATTATTCCTGTAGCTGATAAATGCCGTCAGCACACTCGACCGCACTGCTCTGAATGCAATGCATCAACAGCTCATGGAGTTACGGGGCTGCAAGGGACATAAGCAATGCAACCCGGAGAAGGGTGAGTACAAAGCCTCAAAGGCGAACGAGATTGATTTTAGTGTCTCCAGCAATTTCAGACCTATGTTACCTCTACTTCCTTTCAGGGGGGAAGGAGCGAAACTACTTCAGCGAATACAGGTATTTTCTTCTTTTCTTTCATCCTACTACAGCACAGTTGATTACTTTTACAAACATGGCAGATGGAATACATGTTACAGTTTTAGCTCTGGGAGGTTACAGCCTCCCTAGTGAGCCTTCGGTTATGTTTCTTCCAACTCGGCTCAGGAAGTCAAGAAAAGGAAAAAGAGTAACATTGTGCTGAATTTGAACCTCTTCAAGCTGGTTCCTAACTGTTGTCATCGAAGCCATTTTTAGCATGCAGAAGCCAAAGAGGCCAATATGCCAGCCTGCTTTTCAGCTCCTGCCGTTCCCTGTTTGTAATGAAGCCTAATTGCCTGTCTCTGCTGTGCGTATGGGGGTGTATGTGTGCCTCCCTGTGTGTGTGTGTGTGTGTGTGTGTGTGTGTGTTAACCTGTTTGCGTGTGTCTGTGTGTGTGTGTGTGTGTGTGTGTGTGTGTGTATATACATGTATGTTTGTCTCCATGCACGTGCATTTGCCCTGCGCGTGTGTACGTGCTGTGCATGCTTCAGGCCAGTTCATCGTCGAAAGAGGCCAAAAGTGAAGAAGCCTTCCTCCAAATCGCTGTGAGTTTGTCATAACCCATCTGTTCCTTTGTAGCCAGCCAAGCTTCAGTCCTATCGCCTACCAGATTTGTTTTTGGCTTGGTCAGAGGACCCAGCAGCACGCTCCCCTCCTCCCCCTTTTACTGTAGTTCTGTGCTGCTATACTTACAGTAATCCTCATTTCCCTGCATTGCAAAGCACCATTTTTTTTTCATTCCCTCCAGCGAGTCTGATTCAATAAAGCAATGCAGGTGTAACATTCTCTCATTATGTTGTGTTCTCAGTCCTGTTATCGTCATTTCCTGCTTTTCCTCACAGTGTTTGGTTGGAACAGATCAGAGCTGGAGTCATGCTTTCCAGCGAAGGTCTCCGGTGGCACATTTAACTCACGGTATTTGTTTCCTTTGCACAGAGGGCAGATTTGGGAAGGATGGGTTGGGTAACCGCCCACATCCCTTTAACCCACCACATCGACCTCCTCGTGCAAAGGAAGGAGAAGGGGGAGTGCAGGCGTACCCTAAGACCTTGACCACACTTCAATGAACCAGAACCTGAGATACTACTTTACTCTAATCTGGGTTTTCAATTTTGAGAGAGCTCCCCCTTCGTAAGTCTAACCCAGGCAAAGGAGACGCCGAGACCGGGACGAAGCTTCAAGACTCTCCAACTGTCCGTTCTACCGTTGCGCACATTTCGTTATCATCACATTTCGTTATCTTCTTCTGTTACCCCCCAGCTGTCAGTACCACTAACATTAACAGGACGCTGTGAATCTGGTGGGCCCGTTTGACGTCCACCTGCCATTCTATCTAACAGTACTGCTTGTACATAATATCTATATATCGGCTTCAATCAGCTTTCCTTATGGTCACACCGGACCGAGCGGACAACGTGATGCGTTTCATTTCAACTCTGCTGCTGCTCAGTGATGTCACGGCCTCGTGACGTCTCCGTGGCACAAATGCCGAATAGCTAAATCCTTTACTCTCAGAGTGACAGCAAGACATATTTCCTTTCTCTGCACCGATGGGTCTGTTTTGGTGTTCACATGGAAAGTGCTATGGACTTTTGAATGAGCGACAGGACACGCCGCCATAATCTTTTGTATTATAGTTGATCTTAACGCCGATGAATGTCCTTTTATGAATCATCGTCTTCGTCAAAGCTGTGAGATGCGAGGGGACTAGATGTTGCTCGCCTTCATCCAACAACCCGCATCTGGTGTCGTGCGCACTGAACGGGGCAGACAGTAATCACCATCCCACCAGGGTACAATCCAAACCTTTGCAATATTTGACCAGTGGTAGAATGCACCATTAGTGAATGCCATTTTACTCCTTTGTGTTGTCAGTACCACATTGTAGAAGTAGGCAAATAGTTTGTTCAGCTTGCTATACATGGTGCTACAGGATAACATTGCAGAAGGAAAACCTTGCTGTACAGTACAGTATGTATTTGAATGTATGTTGTGCAATTAATATAAATGTTTACAATATTTTTTATAATACTGAAGAGGCAGACCTCCTTGTATGATATGGTTTGACAAAAATTGACGTGTAAGGAGAAATGAAGCTTGGGAAAAGCTCCCCAGAACGTGTATGTTTGTCCTCTCCTCATTTACATCGGAAAAGCACTTAAAGGGTTCACTGTGAAGAGATGCGCCGTGTACGTTTAATGGATATATATTTTACTCTGTGCCAGAGAACCACACAACAGTGTAAAACGTATTGGTGTGAATTTCAGCTACCTGCCCTTGTTAGCTTTTTTTGTTTCTTTTTTATTTTATTCTATGTTTTAGCATATATTTTCCATAGACCTGAGCGCTGATAGTAATTGTGAATAAAGTGTTGTTTGACCATAAACACGAGCCGACTTTTATTGTGCAATAGCGTGTTGGTTTGCGTTCCTGTCCAGCAGGTGTCTCTGTCCGCTCGTCCAAAGGGGACATGGGGACACTTACAGCTACCGTTACAATAGTGGAGCGATAAAGGGCTTCGCTGGCTGCCTGAGTCGAGTGAGAACAAGTTGTAAAATGAACACATCACATGATGTTTAAATATGAACCCAAGGATCAAGAAGTATCATACAGGTGTGTCGCTAAGCCACCCAACGGGCTCAAATCTGCTACGTTAGGACTATGAACCATTTGAATAGCGCATTTATTTGACAAACGACGATGCGGGCCTGCTTTAAAAATAAAAGTGCGTCGGCCTCTGTAACAATTACGGTACAATACGAAATATGAGAACGGACTTTTAGAGAAAGATGAGATATTTTCTAGTCCCGTGACTAAACAAGATATCACTCTGCTGTGCTGCTCTCTCCACCGGGGCAGCCGAGGGGGGCGGGGAGTGACAACCCCCCCCCCCTCCGTCCCGTCCCAGCCTGTGACCAACGTGCAGAGGCGGAGACTCCACATCGGATCCACCACCGGAGGAGCGTCCCGGACTCACTCCGTAGTAGTCCGTGTGCCGCGTAACTGACCCCCCACCCCCCCCCCGACCCCCCTCCGCCATCCCGACACCGGCTACACACACCGCTTCCCCCGCTTGTTTGCGCCTTCTTTACGATGTGAAGGAAAATGGCCGGGACAAGGTAGGTCGAGCCTCTCATTTAGTGTCAAAGTGATTCCATTTTTTAAAAGTGGGGAAAGTGAGCCGAAGCTAAAGCCGCGTCGCCTCGCTACCAGCCCGCCGAGGACACGACCGCGTTAGTGACGATGCTTCAGCGCGCGCGTGTAAAATGTTCGCTAAACCGTTGAGAGAACGAAATAATAAATAGTTCATCCTCAAACTGCAGTCGTTCATTTACTTTTGACGTCAACGTGCGTCGGTCCCGCAGAGCCGAGCGTAACTTTAGCGTTAACGCTGCGTTCCAGCGCGCGACCGTCCGACGTTCGGGAAAACCACGAGAGAAGTTTGACACTTGGAAGTTAACTTCTACCCGCATTTAGTGTTCCTATGGGAGCCGCATTATCTGTAGCTGGTATGGGGGGGGGGGGCGAGCCTACTGTTCTTTGCCGCCCCCCGCGTCTTTGCTGTGGTTAAAGAGAACCCAGGCGGAAGGCAAATGTCCCACAGCCCGTTTGTTGCCCCCATTTTTTTTTTACTGGTGCACGTTAACTGGGGCTCTTTCAGCTCGGGCTGCCGGTTTGATCTCCACATGTTTAAGTCCTTCAGCATCTGCTTTTACTGCGTTAAAACGGTTTAGCGTTCGTCGGGTTTTCCAGGGACAGATGGTGTTGCTTTAGATGTTCTAGTCCTGCTTGTCTATTTAAAGCTGCTGAGGAGAGGCGCTTCTTAGTCCTGCTCCTGTTGTATAGTTCAGACCTACTTGCTTTTAATGGCTCCAGCTAAAGTTTTGAGTATCTTTTGATGCTTGTAGCCTCCTCCTGGTTAAGGACGTGCCCGTGGATATCATTTGGACAATCAACCTGTCCGGACAGGTGTGATTTATGTAGCCTGGAGCGGGACTTCCTGGGTGCAGCAGGTTTTGCCGTCTTCTCATGAGGAAACCCAGCTGTTGGTTCTTGCAGGCGTTTGAGTTTCTCTTTATCTGTCCAGCACTTCTTCACAGACGGAGCCTGCCGGGACAGGACAATGGTCCATTGGCAGTGGCTCCCTCCTTAGAACATTTCCTCCATTTATCTTAGCTTGTCAATGCGGAGGAGCAGGCATTACAATAGGACGCTGTCCGAATGTTTGCCCCGGTGGGTCACAGAAGTGGACAGACAACAAGCGGAGCGTTGCCCTAAAGACACGCTGAATCCGGCCTGTGTCTTTTGACAGGGACGAGGCAGGATGTCCGTCCTACGGAAGATTTGACAATGGACAAGTTTGTTTGCCTGTTGATAGGAATGGGTTTTGAAGCTTGTCCTCCAGTGGCAACAGGTTGTTGTGTGCGGCGACGTGTTAATAATATCATGAGCGGATGATATCGGGAATCAGGAACATTTATTGCCAAAATGTGTCAGACGTACAAGGAATTTGACGTTGGTGCATAACATCAGACAGTAAGACAATGAAACAATGGACAACAACATTTGAGAAATAAAGCTTCGAATCATTTTTTCTCCTTTTCTGTACTAAAATTTGGGTCAAGTGCAACATTTCGCGCTTTGTTTTGATCAAACATGTTCAATAGTACCTGTAATGCCCCCATTTCCTTCAGCGCACCTGTAGAGGTTAAAGTCTGGTTTTACTGCTTACACCTGGTGCTAATAGTGCTGATCGTCACTCACTGGCATTACAGGGGATAATAACTCGTGGGATGGTCACACACATGGATCGACTGTAAGGATGGATGAGTAATCTGCTTCCAAAGCGCTCTATGTAATTATAGTGAACTGTCAGTACAAACCGAAATTAAGCTTGACACACATTTCAAAACACAGTACACAGGTGGTAGCGCTGAAACGGACAATGGAGAAAATCAAATGTTGTGAATAATGTTTTCATTTTCTCTCTGATATGCAGTGTCACAGTTGTCACCCCTATTACAAACGCGAATCTGTTGTTTGGATATATTAGTCTGTCCCTAGCCTGTTGATCCCCCTGTGAAGGCCTCTTGAATCATAATCCGGCCCCCCCGGGGCCCGTACAGACCCAGCGTTAACATCTTCACTAGGCCGCCCTGTGCTCTTGAGCCTGCAGGGCCCTGCCGTCTGCACCTTCACTTCTTCTGGAGGACAATCCGGACGTGGCTTTCCTGTGTGGCTCCTCAGCCGGGCATTCGGCTCTGGGATTAGGCTCTGGCCTCGTTTGTCTTGTCAGCAGGGGGGGGGGGCAAATCTAAATGAAGTTACAAACTGCTGCTGGTGGCACGCAGCCAGGTCGGGTGCTAACAGTAAATGTTGTTCTGGCGGCGGGCAGAATGTGTCTTCATGGCTTCGGTATGACCCCACGAACGATCTGACAAGATAACGTTTGGGGCGATGAATGCTTGGGGGGGGGTTATTAAGCACAATTGCATCCTAATCGGTTCATTCCTTTCCCTTGTTTGGACAAGTGGCCCCATTGTTCCGGCTTCCACAGCTGGTGTCCCCGGACAGAAAGGGCGGGCTGTCCGTGGGTAAACACCCTGATCCCGTCCTCAGACTCTCCTGCACATGTTCACTCTCGTCCAGAGTCTGATGCGACCCGAAAAAGTCCCCCTTGTACTGTCCAACCAAATAAAGGGGGTGGATTTAAGCCAAGGACCGGGCTTCCCTACCGGGTAGCTCTCCCCCCTTATGAAACCCCGGGAAATTTTGGCCCATATTGCGGATTGGTCGTTCGAATAGAATGCGGTTGTTCTGGAGAGCATCAAAAAGGGGGGGGGGGATGGGGGGGGGGGGTCTGGAGTTCCCAGGATTTTCTGCTGAAAGCTGCGCCATTTGTTGGAGAAGGGAGGGCGGCAGGACAAGACAATACGCTCCTTACAGAAATCACACAGCGCTGTCTCTCTGCGGGCCAGTTAGTAGGCGGATTACCGCGCCGGTAACATTGGAGACCGCCAACACTGAAGCGCTCTGCCGGAATCTGGTGACGATGTAGGCAATGTTATCTCACATCGCATGAAGAATCGCTTTGTGGCAGCGGGGGTGAACATTTTGGCCTTTACAGGGAATGAATTCAAAGAGGCCGTGTAAAATCGGTAGTTGGAGAGCAGCATGGGAAATGGCGAGCTTCGCTGAAGGTGGCTCAACGACCTTGTGAGGTCCAGTCTGATCGGTGCCAACGGAGACGGGGAAACTGTTCCTGGTTGTGGATTACGGCAGCTGTTGAAGCAGGTCACCCCAGACCTCCACCCCTCCGGCTCTCATTGGCTGAGTTCCACCCCACACTCCCCCTACCCCTATTTGGAGGGGCACCACAGAGAGTTCTCGTTGAATGAGTTCTGCCTGTTGATCTGACAAGTCAGCGTTGTCCGGGCCCATCACAGGCTTCAGAATAGGGTGCATTTCACGGGCTTTGTAACGCGTATGGCCGTGAGTCATCACAGGACATTTCTGTCAGCTAGGTATCCCGTCTATTCCCAGCGGGGCTACACATTCATTCATGACAAGAAACCGTTGACGAATGCGGCTAAAGGGCAAAGCGCTTCTGACGTCTGGATTCGATCGGTTTGTTCATGTGGCTGTTTTTCATAGGCAAGAAGTCAACTTTGACCTTTGGAGTCCTTCTTGCTAAAGACAGAGTATTGACTGTAGAAAAGATTCAAGATCTTACGTTTCGCTTTGCTTTTTTACACCACGCCATGGTTTTAAAAGCAACCCTTTTGTTTTACAGTTTGTACAAGACCAAAATATTGCACACAGAACAAACCGGATCATCTGGTTTCAGCGTGGGGGGGGGGTTCTCGTAGTGTGCAGTCACAACTGACAATCCCGCTGTTCTCAGTCGATACCAGACGGCACATAGAATCCATTTGAAGTATTTACTCATCGTCACTGAGTAACACCGGCATTTTGGACGGGAGTTATTCGGTTCGACGTAACAGAATTGGGGAGAAAGGCGTTGTTTCCCTCGAAGATGCAGGAGCTGCGTTTTCCCCCACCCTTACTACTGCAGCAGGAGACGTGAGAACTGTCACACCCAGCGTACGCAGCTCGTGAGCCTCCATTCCCTGCAGGCCTTTTGGAGGAGAATCAGGTGAAGGAGAGAGCGCCTCTTTCCCCTCCCATGCCGGCCTTGATAATGTGCTTTATCTCTCCTTCCCTCCTCGGCAATCTGCAGCCTGTGCTCGGCTCTCCAGAGGCCCGCGCCTCTCGTGCCGCGAAAGACGACCCCTAAACTTGTTCGCCAATGTCGCCAGTGAGGAATGGACACTGACAACTGCTGCTGAAAGGGGAGGAGGCGTGTAGAGAAAAAAAGCCGGGGAGCTTGTTCCCATTAATCTGGTTCCGAAAAATGAGTTTACATGTCCACTGCTTTTCTAATCACATTACAATGCACCAAAAATCCCCTGTACTCCTCGGGGCTCGCACAGAAGAGGGATGAACATATAATGGTCTAAAGCTGTATAGTCAGTCTGACCAGGGACAGGATGAGCACCCAGCATTCTCACCCCGAGGTGTAGCTTTAATTAAGCTCTGATTAAGTGCAGCACGCACATTCACACAGTGACCAAGAACCCCCGTTCTACCGACCTTTGAACCCGGCGACACTGCTGGAACGCGAGGTGTGAAACAAAAGGCCCAAAGAATGTGTGTGCGACAGGTGCAGTTTTTTTTTTCACACTCTCGTATGTGAAACATGTGCACTCTCCCCCTGATAGTCGGCGGGTCTTCCAACCCGTCCCGCACAGAGACGAGCTACATACACCTCGTGTCAGTGTCCCACAGAAACACAAGCGGTTTGTGTCATCGCCGTCCACACACACACCCACACACACACACACACACCACCTTCAGTGGAAACGTAGCGGCCCGCGCTAGCTGACCTATCACGAGTGGGTCCACTCTCACTTTGCCTCGTCTCTTGCACTGCCTGGATTATGATGAAACTCTCGCCGGGTGCTGCTGCCAAGCCCTCCGTGGTCGGCCTCTGTCCCCCAGCTCTTGTTTTACAATATTTAGATAGGCGAGGTTGCCTAGCAGCCGCGCTGAATAGACTTTGCACATGATTTATACATAATCAAACAGAAGTCTGCTCTAGGCTCGTTCCTTGTATCATATAGAGTTGCAGGCCGCTACTTGCCCCGAGAGAGCAAATTACCACCGGTTTGTCATCGTTGCTACAATTCTAATGTGGCTCCTGTGCGGCTGGGTGAGTTTGAATTCTTTCACCTTCACTGAGTAAATGATGCTTCACGTCTCTAAATAGCACATGTTTTTATTGTTGCTGTGCCTGTTGAACAGAAGAGTTTCCCAAGTGACTGACTGGGCTTTGGGTGAGAAGCCGGGCTGCCTCGGTCCGCCGGGTCGGTCACAAGCAACAGCTCAGCACACTGTGTTGTTGGTTAAAGGTTAGAGGTTGTTTTACAACGGCCCGTATTGCTAAACGGGAGCTTAGCGGGCTCGCCTGTTTTGTCCATCAACTTACTTGCGTGTATTGTGTGTGTGTGTGTGTGTGTATATATTATATTACGACTATATATATATATATATATATATATATAGTCGTCCTATCTGTCCATCACAAATGATGGAATGGCACTGAATCACAAAGCTGCATTTCAGTCATTACTATAGTTTATCTGATGAAACACTTTGCCACAGTTCAAAACCCGATTCTACTCATGAGAAAAGAAGGAGGAAAAAAAAAAAAGTCCTCTGGCTACTTCGACAAACTAAACAACCGCGTTGCCTTTTGAGTTTGTTTGAAATGCAAAGTCCGCTCAACGACGCGAGGCATCTCGCTGCCCTGCTTCTACTGAGCGTGTTGTCCAGTCCTGTTTTCCACCACCGGGAGAACGGCCATTTACACTTTGCCTTCGAACAATGGGGCAGATTCCATGAGCTATAGTCTGTTGTTTCCCTCACTCTGGGAAACGGCTCTCAGGTCAGTTATTTTGGGAGCTTACTGTAAATTGTTTTGTTTCTTTCTTCTTCAGCAGGAGACCTTTGGCACATTGGGAATGGGAGTAACGAACCTGGTGATTAAGAAGGTGCGCATGTGTGTGTGTGCATGTGGCCGGCTCTGCGGAGATCTTTGATTTTCTTTTTTACACTTTGACATGCTTTATTTTTACTCGCCATGGAATACCCATATGCCCGCTGAAGCATCCTCCTTGACCCAAATGGGCGACAAAGGCCCTGCGTGCCATGGCAGTGTGTTATTACACACAAGGGCAAAGAAGACTTAGTATTCCATATCAGATTTACAAAACTTCGCTAGAATTGTTCCCACGTGAACAATAAACTCCCTGTGGACAATGTAGCTTCGCTGAAATGTGAGTGCAAATTCCTTTTTGTTAACTATAAGTTTAAGCTAATGAAATGAACCTGTGAAATCCTACTTCTCCACTCTGTGTTCTTGTGTTTACTGGAGGCAATCACCCTGCAAGTCTGCTTCAATTAAACTGAGTTTCCACAGGACTGTGTGTGTGTGTGTGTGTGTGTGTGTGTGTGTGTGTGTGTGTGTGTGTGTGTGTGTGTGTGTGTGTGTGTGTGTGTAATAAGTTAATATTAGTTCAATATAAAACATTCCTGCTGGAGTTCTGCTTTGCTGAGCTTCAGCAAACCGCATTCCAAACCATTTATGAACATCAGAAGCACGTGGCAGGCTGCCTCAGTTATTTGAAGTCTTGCTGTGTGCTCATGTCTTCCCCTCTGTGCCGCGGAGTCGCCTCGAGCTGAGTAGTAGTTCATTTACACAGTAACGCAGTCAGCGACTTCTCAGCGAACACAACTAGGACGCTCTCTGTCCACCGCGCACCAATGAGAGGCGTCAATGTGTAGAGATGTAGATTATTCCAGTATCTCAGTCGTGGTACGTCCTGCAGAGGACAAGCCGCTGTCAGGCGAACCCATGTGACGGACATCACTCCTGTTGTTTGACTACTCCCCAAAAGGGATGTTCCAGGAATTTATGTACAGCCCGGCCCGTCTTCCTGCTTATCTGGTCATGTCAACAGAGCCCAGCCGGCTCTCCGCTCCAACTGCTGTTTATTTACCCAGAGGGAACGGCCCCCATGCGGCCAGGACGCCCCATGCTGCTCAACCCCTTAGCCATGGCCTCCACAGGTGACCCTGGTTTCCTGTCGGGACCTTTTTTGGGGGGGGGGACACGCAACTCATGAAGTATTCATTAATTCTTATGCCGATATGCATTTGCAGAGAGACGTGCTGACAAACAGCGATGTGAATAAGTACTTTCTCCGGGTGGGAAGGCCTCCTTCTTGGAAGCCGGGAGCAGTGAAAGGATGCAGGCTGTGGTATGTGTGGGGTGGTATTGACTGTTTGGCCCCTGCTTTGAATGGCCCATTATTTGCGAGGCTTCCTTCCCGTGAAGTGTTGCGAATCTAATCAGTCTGCAAGTCATCTTCTGATGGCCGGGCCTCATTGTCCTCCCTCAGACTCTGAACACTATTCTGCTGTATTGAATAGACCCGTGCAACACAAAAAAACCCCACTTTTTTTTTTACAATTCATAACAATTTGATATTTGTTTGTTCAAAACACAGAATGAACCCACCGTTCCTTTAGAGCCCAGTAGGGTCAGTGTGAAGGGTGGGACCAGATGGCTTCCCAGCATAGAGAACTGGGACACATGGAAAGACAGCATGTGAAAAGCTCCTATATCCGCTCCATGTTCATCTAACCGTTAAATCCGCCTAGAGACCGTTACTGTACATCGATGCTTTATGAGCAAGTGGCTCAAAGTCACTCTTTACGGTTAACAAAGGAGAACAGCTGTCGATGCCAGCGAGTTGTCGTCAGAGCCTGGCGACCTGCCTGGCACCTCTCTCCGTTTCTGGCTTGTAAACGTGGTGGGCACTCTTATCCACGCTAAGCTTTGGCGGCCCGTCTCTGATCATCACAGGTAGCCCGGACAGCCCGGACTCCCTGTCCCAAGCAACCGTGACCGGGAGAAGAAAGCGCTTCTCTGTTCTCGGGAGGCTGGGAAAGTATATCCCAAAACCTATGTCGGATTGTTGTGACTCTAATTCCTACCTCAAAGATGCCAGGCTCGAGCTGGGCAGGATCCTTAAGAGGAATGACATAACCTAAGTAATCAGCGTGGTAATTTCTATTCGGAGTCCTTTCTCCGGCTCTGATCTCGACATCTACTGTGTTTGAGACCCGGGCGAGGACTCCGGTTGGCTGCTGGGAGTCTGCCTGTTCCCACGTGGATTTGCTGGCACAGTTGAGGCCTGCATCGGGGAACTAGATCAAAGGAAACAAATGGAGCCCACTAACGAGTAGCATGACCTGGATGACCGCATTCTTCACTTTTTTTCCAGGACACCTGTATTGACCTTGATTTCATGTCGGTGGCTACAGCTCATACCTGTTATATGGGGCGCTATCTTTTATTTTCCGTCTGCCACACACACTTTTTTTTTTTACATTGTGTCCTAATATTTCTCTGAAGTTCAAGCTCTAACTGCAGAGCTGCTCTAACCCCGCTATTTCTTATTTGGTGTGTGTGTGTGTGTGTGTGTGTGTGTGTGTGTGTGTGTGTGTGTGTGTGTGTGTGTGTGTGTGTGTGTGTGTGTGTGTGTGTGTGTGTGTGTGTGTGGGGGGGGGGGTTCTGTTGCGTTAGTGGCCCTCACAGCGTGTGGTTCTCTTTGGGCCCCCTGCTGACTCCATGCCTGGTGTCTCGCCACCTGTCCTCTTATTAAACGCATTATTGCTAACACACACTAACGCGCAGATGGATGCGTGTAGGGGACAAAAACATTGAGGCTCTCTCCATATGGGCGTCGTCGGGCCCCTCAGTCCCGTCACACAGTGCGAGTTGATTACTGCTTGTTGGAGCTGGTTGGTACAACACAGCGTCCCGCCATCCGGTTGGTTTCTCTGTTAATACTTTTGACTTGTTTCGTCTCATTCAGCTCTGACTGGGTGGAGATCCTGGAGCCCCGCTCCCGCGAGCGCATGTATGTGAACCTGACCACCGGCGAGTGCGGCTGGGACCCCCCCTCAGGCGTTCCCGTCCGCCAGGCAGACGGCAACCAGTGGTGGGAGCTCTTCGACGCCCAAAGCGGCCGCTTCTACTACTACAACTCCACCGGGCGCCGCACGGTCTGGCACCGACCGCAGGGGGCCGACATAGTACCCCTCTCCCAGCTCCAGGCCATGAGACGCCGCGGTGAGGCCAAGCGGGCCGGGGGCGGCGGCGGCGCGGACCGCCCCCCCCACGGCACCACGGGCAGCGTCGGCAGCGCGGGCAGCCAGGGGCGCTTCACGCCTCTGCCCGAGCGCGACAGAGACGGCCCCGGGGCTCCGGAGCCCGGCCACGAGGCTGGCGAGCCCGAGGTGGACCCGGCAGCGGACAGCAGATCGCAGGGGGACGGGAGCAGCGCCGAGAACAGCACGGACGGCAGCAAAGACCAGCAGAGGTAGGAGTGGTCGGACCCGCTCGCGGGCAAAGCTGGAAAAGGAGGTTGTGCTTGATCGTTAACGGGAAAAGTTACGGGGGAGAAAAGTTTAGGAATGGTGATAGTCATCACAGCATGTGGCGTAGTGAGCCATAATGACTTTCAAATGCTTCTGCTGTGAGAATATTTTGACTTTAGACCACTTAGACACCTTTTTAAAATTCCCGTACCATCGCCTGTGAACCGTGCTCAGCCGTTTCAGCAAATTGTTACCAAATGGGGAGACCGGTCAGTTAACTGCTCAGCAAGACCCCCCCCCCTTCTCTCCTCTCCTAATGCTAGGGTTACAGAACAGCCCATCACAGTGAGCCATTCAGAGACCCCGTCATGTGCTCGGCGCCGTGGCCCCGTCCAAACCGCCGTTCACTTCCCTCGGAGCCAGATTCCAGACATGCCACTTCTGTTTCCCCTGGCACGGGGCCCACCGAGACCGTCTCGGTGTCCTTCTGCGTGCCCCCCACCAGCCCTGCTCCGCATCGCTCGTTTCTGTTTTCTGAAAGCAAATCGAGGGCCCCCGGGCCGTTAAAGGACCGAAACGCCTCTGATGGGCGAGAGAGCGCGTAACTGCGCATGCACAAGAGCCATGAGAGAGACACAGTGTTGTCCACAAGCAGAACCGCTGCATTCCAGCGCATAAACAAGGCGAACCCTGCTGCTTTTCAGAGGCTCCCTCATGGCAACTTTGGCTCTCGGGTTCGTCTCGGCTCTCCTTGTCTCCGTCAATTTGGCCCTCGGGACGTCCCTCTTCTGACCCCTCAGAGCCTTTGGGATTATGTTTAGATCGAGGGGGAGTGTGTGGGACTAATGGGTCAGCCGCGGCTGTTGAATGACACTGTGTGTGTGTATGTGTGTGTCCGCTGCCCCCCTCCCCCCGACCCCCCATAGGGTCCCACTTTGCCCCAATGTGATTCAACCACTCCCAGAGCCTTTTACGTGCTGCCTTAAAACAATGGCCAGCTGTGTTCCCCAGGGGAGGGGTCTTTAGCACACAGAGGCTTGATAGCCTATAGCCATTTGGCCCCTCCACATGGTCACCATCTCTTAGCAGGTAATTAGGGCCCAGCCCGAAATGCAGAGACGGTGGAATGCGACGGCTCCAAATGGATGAACAAACATGCTTGTTTGCCCGCCTCGTTGATAATGACAAGGACGCAGGGGTACGAGCTAGGGGGAGAGTTTGGAGTTGGAAGGAGTCTCAGCGGTCTGCGGTTTTGCTAATTGTTCTGTTCCACCCATAACACTGGAGTTTTGGGGGGTTTTCATGAGACTATCCCCTTCCTATTGTCTTTTTATCATACCACGGCCGCTCATAACTCTCCATAGAGTTATGTCGTTGTCAGCGTTTTACAGTTCCTTTGTGTTGTGTTTGAACGTCTGAGCTCTTTTAGACATGTCCTCACTGTTCTTTTTTTATTCTTCGCTTTTTTTTGACTCCAAATGTCATTCACTTATGTCCTTTGTGGAAAAACAACGCTGTCCTTTGTGGAGATGGGACAATCCCAGTTCTTCCAACGGCAGTTTCCCTTTTGTTTTGGTCTATTAATAAATCTGTCCGTTGCAGATAGAAGAGTTTCCACACCACACACCCAGTGTTATTCTCAGCTTCCTGTCTCTCCCTGTCTTTGTTAATCTCTTTGGATTTGTCTGTGGTCATCATTATAGAAGCACACTTTTGGAGGCCTTGAGGGCCAAATCTGTTACTCATTCCCCGAGTCTTATCGCACGTCCTGGGAATTTCTGGGTACTTTGAGCCTGCGTGGTCTCCGGGGTGCAAACATGTCCGACACATGTGTTTCTGGGCACAGGAAACCGAGGCGAGCTCTCTTTCCATGCCCGTGTGTCGTCATCGAGCAGATAACATCTGTGTGGGATTCCACCGTAGACGGTGCGAGTTCTTCACCGTGTGCGGGCTCCTCTCCCCTGAGCTTTCTGGCTGAGACCCGCTGAGTTTGAGTGGATGTTGGACGGTCTGCTGTGGACGCATGACTGGTGTAAGACAACTCCGAAGTGACTCAAGGTGGTTCACAAGAGGGTCACACCACCCTATTGTCTTATGGGCCGGCCTGGGGGCGTATAATGGACAACCAAAAGGAACAAAGGTTCCGACTTAAACCCAGACCCAGATTAGTGTGATTTTTACTCTGACGTTAGCTAAAGCTAAACTAAAGGACTAATGTTAGAAGCCTCTACCCAAAAAGGGTCTGATGACACAACAACCAGAAATGAAGACTATTTTAGATCTTTTTAGGGGAAGTTAAAAACAATAATTGTTCCTTTCTTTTTCATGAAACCTTTTACAAAAAGCCCAAAACAAACAACCTTCCCCCCTCGTGCACTGTGGCTGTGAGTCATGTCAGAGATATCACCAGTGGGTTTATTTAGCAAAAAAGGGGGGAGGGAGATAAAGTTTGTCAAGTTGTTAATGAGTCACACGCCGCCTGTGTGTTAACTCCAAAAGTACAAGCATCTCCTGCTTTTCATCTCCCGCACGCTGTGAATACGAGTTCCCGGTGCGGTAAGCTCCTTCAGCCCTTTCCAGATGCTGTTTTATATTTATTTCCACCCCCCCGCATAAAAAGAAGTCGCACCGGATGTGCCTCTGTCTCGTTCAGTGTCGATGTCCCAATTTCTCTGCCCTCCTCCCGTGTTTCACTCACTCACTTACATCACAGATGGCCCAGTTTCATGACCGGTGTATCTAAATCAAATGCTGCTTTTGCGGTTTACTTTGTCCGCTGTTGCGGAGATGTGGCATATCTCTAGTGTTTCCACGGAGAAGCAGTGGCACCACATGCGAGGCGGCTTCTCTGGCTGGATCAGCTGACTTGCTGCCTGCAGACATGGTGTTCCTCAGGGTGCTGCTTCCAGGGTGTCCGCTCGCTTCCATATTTTTTTTACGGTGTGGCTGATTATTGTTGCATATCATATTGTTCCATTCTCTTTCGTGTCCCTGGTCATATCTTTTACACGTGGGACTGTTGTCCAGTTGTATTCATGCCATCCGTCATTGTGCCCCCTACAAGAAGAACTTGAGGTGCACTTTGAGATTTCCAGAGGCGGAATCTCTCCGGAATTCAGTGGGGTTTGTTCTCATCCTGTTCCCTCTTACTGGCTGTCCTCTGGCCCAGTCCGGCCGTGGGAGACACAGACAGGCACAACTGGTAGACATCTTGGCTCATAGGAAGGAGGTGCATCAGTTCAGCTGTTGCGGGACAGCTGGCTCATTGCAGGGGCCCAACAGGAAGCAGGGGGGCACATTTAATCACTGAATGTAATTTATTTCTCCCGTTTGATATGTGTATGATACACTTCAAAAGTAAGAATAAAATGTGGGTCTGGCAAATTTAATTCAACGTTGCCCTCAGCAAATCTTCTTTTGTCCTGTTTCCTTCCTCTACTGGATTCCAGGGATCCCATTGGTTTGTGCTCGGAGGTGTTTGTGCAGCAGGGGCTTGGTTCGTGCGACCCCACTTCCTCTTCCCGTCCAGCTAATGTTAATAATAACCCCTGTTTTTCAGACCCCTCTATTCCCAAGGGGTGTAAGAACTTCCAAAGCCTTATTCCTCTCCGCCAAAGTGACTCAGCTGATGACTTTTTCAACTTCAGTTATTCCAGACGGGAACGTAAGAAGAGACAGAACATCTGCTGACAGCAGGGTCTCCACAGTATATTTGGTTGGTCATCGAGACGGCCCGACCGCGGCAATATTAGGAACAGTGACAGAGATATTTGGGACTGATTGTGGGTGTGAGACACCGGAGCTGCTGAGACTAATAGAGATTTGCTGACTGTTAAATTGATTTGCCGCCCCAGAGGCCAATCCGATTACACGTTTGTTTCCAAAGGGCCTCTTAACTTAATTTCATTTCAGATTTCGCCATCTTCTAAAAGCTCTCGCATGCTAGCTTCAGGTTCTGAATCAAAGGGGGGAGGCGGCGTTGTGAACAAGTACGTGCATGCATGATGGGTTTGTGCACGTGTGCCTAATCACGTGTGCTTGAGCAGCGGTTTCGAAATGGAGTTCATCTCAGATTTCTCTGAAAAATTGGATGGGAATTTACACTCCTAGCGATAATGATCATGTTTGCTTTTATCCCCTGTGATGAATTGGTGTCCATGATCCCTACCTTCAGCTAACATTCAACACCCGACAGGCGTGCTACTGGCAGGCAACACACACCCCACCCTTGCTAAACAACTTTCTTTCTGGGTTGAGTAAAGTCCAGGGCTGTTACGTAAGAGCCTTCCTGTTTCCCCGTCGGCCTCTGGAGGTTAAAGATGGCTCCTTTCAGGTTCGGCCTCCTTCCGATCACGTTTCTCTGCCCCATCCTCACTTGCATTCTGTTGCCGTTGTTGTCTGAGGCGTCTCCATGACGATGGCCCGGCCATGCATTGTGTGAGGCTCCCCACACTGCCGCGGAGGCCCCCGAATGAGCCCTGAGGAATGCCATCTTTCCCGCTCGTTCCCTCGCTGCACTCTCCCACGACTAATCCCCACCCCTTCTCATTTACACATGCTCACACCCTTCCTTTCTTGTCTCCCTGGCTCTGTTGTCCTCTCGCCCCCCTCCATTGCTAACCCCCGCCGATTGTCTCCCGGCTCTCTGTTGCAGTTTTCTCACCCTTGTGCTGTCCATGCCCCTCTTTCGTTTCAGGGTTTGTAATCACACTTCATTTGGTTGACCTGGTGTTTACTGATATGCGAGTGTTCTAGTAGTATAATGGGATTAGAGACGTTTGGTAAGAGATTGAAGACACTGTAAAGCTTCGCTAGTGGATTTGGCTTCCGGCCCCAGTTTCTGCAATCGCATTGAGCATCGGACCAAACCCCCCCGCTGACAGCCAACATGGCGTGCCGGCGCTGGAGGGGGTGCACATGCTAGACTTTGCTGATCCCGTGTTGGACAATGGTCGGCAGACTGAAACTTCTTGTAAAGCTGTTCATAAGCTCCCTATAATTATGATTTAGCCCTCACTTCCGCCTTGGGAGCCGCGTGTGAGCGGCACGGCGGTATTTCCTGTTTGCGTTGGATACAGGGAAGCCCTTTCTACGACCCTCTAGAGGACCTCCTCCGACAGGAAGTAGTGATGTACGTTATGAGGACTGACCCTTGTATCTCCGGGTCAGTCCTCATAACGTCACCCACCCACCACGAACATGGGAGAAAGATCACATGAGCCCCAGATGGTTCAACGTGTGATCAACACGGCTTGATTTGTCCGAAATGGAAAGGTAATTTGATTATTGTGGGAGGTCCGCTGTGTTCGTTGGCCGTCCAATCAAAAGCAACGCCTTGATGTTTCAAGTGTGAGCCGCTCCTGCCGTAGCAAACCGGCGTGAAACGCTCACCTCCTCCCAATTGGCAGAACCAGAGTGAGAAAGCATACACTGCTTCAAAGAGTACAAGCATTGGCTTCTCAAGTTCACACCCCCCCGCACCCCCCGTCTAAACACAGCGTAACCACTCACACTTGCTCGTAACTACTAAATAGTGGTGGTTTTGGGTGAATCCCGTCCGTCAGAAGTTTCTAGTTGTTCACACGTGTGTGTGTGTGTGTGTGTGTCGTGGAGGTGGGGGCCTGGAGCATTCACAACAGCGTAGCTCACGGCAGGCCTGGTGCCCTGCCAGGTGGCTGAGATCCAGCTGTTTCTATGTCCTGACTGGACGGCGCACTGCGTGGGACCGTTGGGAGATTGGGAGGGGGGGGGGGCTGTTTGTATTCAAACCGCTGAGGGGGGGTGTGACTCACTCTATTGACGGGGGCCGACACTGTCGCAGAGGGAGAGGATGACGAGCTGCAGCTAGGAGGACTGGGGGGGGGGAAGTTTATCGTTGGCTAGAGGACGTCTGGGGAATTTTAGCATTGTTGTTCCAGGGAGATGTAGGGAGGGGGGGCAGGTTACTCCGCCTCTTCCTCCCTCCCTCTGCGTCCTCTTTTCTGCCGTTACAGCTCGACTCTCCGCTAAGAACTGTTTTCTCTGGCTTGACGCTGATCCGTATTTTTTTTTTTGTTTGGATTCACAAAAGGACAGAAGGGGATCCGCTTAGATCTAATTAATCACCCCAGTGAATGTTAAGCAGGTTGGAGGGAGGGAAGGAAGGTAAGTCTCCTTTGGCTGCCTTCGAACGCATTGAGACTACCCATTGGACCTTTTGACTAAGAGGGGAAGTCTACCAAGCCTCAGCGGCGTCTTACTGGGCCCAGCGGGCCTGTGCCATGATGCCAACTTTAGACGCACTCCTTGGTTTTGAAAGAGCAAGTGTTTGATCAGCCGAGGAATGGGGAAAAAAAAAAGTCCCGGGGGGGTGTTTGGGGAGTGATTATGAGAAAACAGCCGAGTGCGGGGCAGCCGACCAGAGCAGTGTGACCGGACTGATGGGAGATTGTTTTACGTGGCTGGGATTAGCAGTGGGCCGTTGGGTTTGGAGTTGGCCCAGCCGCTCAACCAAGAGGAGGCAAATTAACCTTTGGACCCGAGCGAAGAGAACTTCTGCACTTCTGACCCCCCCCCCCCCCAAGATCAACCTCTTTTCATGTGGCTTTTACTCGTGTGGGCTCGCTGTCCAAAAGTCAAATCCAATGGCAGTCTTTTACGGCATGACGCGATGAAACCACCATTAGCTACTACAGAGACCAACAACAACTAGCGGCCCATCGTTTTCTCACCCGTGTACGTGTTCCAGATCCAGTCCCACCTGCTGGAGGTGGGGGGGAGTTTCAGGGAGATGTGCTGCGTTCAGTTGCTCAGGATTAAATATTTTTATGCACAACATATTTTTATGCACATTTATGTGGATTGCTGCTCATTTTCTCCGTCAGATTTTTTAATTTGTATGAAACGTAGCGGCACTGGCTGCTTATTTTTAGACTATCTGTATAAACCTATATATTATTTTGTTTTCCCGGATGTCAAATCTCATTCTGCTGGTGTTTTCTCTCTCTCTTCTTAGGGACGCCTCTCAAAGATGGCAGCCCGCCCCTGGTTCTAAGGCGGCCATGTTGGTGAAGGTGAACAGCATGAGTCGCAGCCAGCCCATCCCGGCTTCGCAGCAGCAGCACCTCCAGCACAGTGCCCACGGCAAACCCAACACCTTCACCCTGCACCCGAACACCATCAAGCCCCAGGGGGGACTCCTAAACTCTACTCAGGGATATAAAACGGCCCCTTCTGGCAAAACGGCCACCGACCCACGTCAGGCCCACCACCTGAGAAAAGCCAGCAATGGCAGCTTCTGTTTGGTGACATCGGACGGCAGCCATCCCAGCCCGCTCCTGCACAGGTCTCAGACCAGCACACCGTGCCCCGTCTCCCCCCACTACGGTTGCACTACCCCAATCTACGACGAGCCAGTTTCCGAGTGTCCCATATACGATGAACCCCCGACGGACATGGAGGTGGAGGGGGCGCACCTCTACAATGGACATCCTCTGTCTCGCCTGACACCCACCCACAGCCTCCAAAAGCCCATACAACTCCAGCCCCCTGGTTCTTCTCATCCAGGGTCCAGACACAGGAGGAACCCGTCCGCCTCTGACTACAGCCCAGCTGGTCTGGAGTGCATCAAGCACATGATCAACGTGGACCCTAAACAGGGGCTGCTCTCCGGCTCTCCTGTGCCCACGGGCACTCCTTCCCCGACCTCCAGGCAGGATCCTGTCTTGGCCCATCCACATCCTCAGCCGCATCCTCAGCTGCATCCTCAGCCTCATCCTCAGCCACATCCCCAGGCCCACTCTTTGCCCCAGGCCCGGGGCATGTTGAAAGACAGAGAGCCCGGGACCCCGGGCCCCAGTACACTGGACAAGAAGCAGAGCTGGCGGGTCCTTGAGGCCACCGTCCAGCGCGCCATGGAGGCGCGACACAGCAGGCAAAGCAGCCAGGCCTCGCAGGACTTCCCGTCCTCCACCCCCCAGGCCACGGCAAACTATCAAGACTCTGGTTACTCCACCGGTCTCTCTCCGAGTCTGAGAAGAAAGAGCCGGAGGAGGGTGGGAGCCGGCGGTGGGGCAGGAGGCAGGCCAGGGTCGGTGGGCAGCAGCGGGGAGCTGAGCGCTCTCAACGAGAGGCTGATGGCCGAGATGAGGGAGGTGGTGAGCCGCTCCAACACCATGAGGGAGGTGAGAGCCGGGCTGGACCCGGAGATCGGGGAGAGGGTTGTCGCAGCCCGGACGCGCTCCCCTGCCGACTCACTCCGGTGGTACGCCGGAGGGGGGTCGGCCAGCAGGTCCGCTTCACGGGAGGAGCTCCCCGGGGCCTCCCGGTCACTGAGTAGGGCAGGTAACCACGGCAACCCCGCGCTGACGCCCCTGGAGATGCCAGGGAGGCAGAAGAGGACCTATGAAAAGGTGGATACCTTGGAGATGAGCGTGAACAGCCAAGCCAGCCTGTCATCGCCAGAGACCCCAGGGCCGCCCTCACAGGTGTGTGTGCGTGTGTGTGTGTGTCGCAGACGGCAAAAAATGTTGTAGCTAATCAAATATTATGTTACTTTCCTGTCAGATTATAAGCTTGACTGTGTTATTATGTAGTCTGTTTACCTTCAGCCGCTTTGCTTGTTTTCCGCTTCATATGCTTTGATAGCTGAATTCAGCGTCAGCGTATTATGTGAATATTTAGCTGCTTCTTTTTGTACTGCGTGGTGTGTCTTGGACTGATTGTGTGAATGATCAAAAATATCCTTTTTGACTATGGGGGCAGATCAGACAACACAACAGAGTTGGATCTATTTTGACTTTGCGGTGCGCTGAAACACAAAGAGGCTCATAAAACGGGCACATGATTTAAAGACAGAAGCACGATTATATAAGTGGAGCCCGTTTCAAAATCTGCTGGGCATATTGTGCTTAACGCCTTTTTTGCGTTTCTATCTCAAGTCTGTAAATGTCCCCAGGACATTGGGCCGCGCCGGGCACAATGCTGACTGTAATGGCCACCGTCCCAGCATTACCTGTCATCCTCTTGTCAACCACCGTCCATCTGCCTCGCACGGCAGGTACCGTATGCTTGCATGCCAGCTCAGCACGTGGGTCATCTGGGGCCCACGCCAGACCAGAGCGATTCAGGACATGGCTTCCCTCGGTCAGGAAGGAGGGCCGCTGCGGCCCATATGGCCCGGGCTTGGCCGTTCGATGAGAAGCAGCAGGAGGAGGAGGGCTGGTACAAAGGCGTGTTGGTACCACTGTAGCTTAAGCAAGGAGCACTGAGCGGGCCCCCTAAGTCTGTCCTGGAATGTTCTTCAGACCTGCTGTTATATCACACACACACACTCCCAGATTATGACTAGCTATGTATGAGCCGCTCTGTATTCCCATATTTGAACATTCGGTTCCTGCTGGACGACCTTTTGAACTGGCCCATTCAAAGGATGCACTGAAACTGTCCATTTGCCAAAAGAAACATGAATTATTCATGATTCGAACGCTGTGAGTGTTTTCCACAGTTTGAATGCTGTGCTTCAGTTCATACTACGAATGAAGGACCATTCCGGGCTTTCGCATCTGGAAGCAATCTCAAACAGTGTAATTTACCAAAAAAAGAAGTTTACGTTCCCGTTGTATAGTTAAACATGGGCTTTGTTGCATTTGATCTTCTCGAGTTGACCTTTTGAAAAAAAAGAAAAAAAGATGGAGTTGTATAGACTCTTCTTCTGCCAAAGCTCAACCTCACTTCTGCCCCATTTCATTGAGAAACCAAAATGTAAAGTCCAGCTTGTCTGGCACTCATGAGCTCCATATTACATCAGGGGCTCATTGAAAAAGACTTTTATGTCCCATTTGCAAACTGGAACTGCGGAGAGTATCTCCGGTTACCGGCTTTCTCTATTGATGGTGTTGAGTTTGAGGCCTGAGCTCCACCACAGGTATGCCAAGGAGGCGTAGAACTCAGCTCCTGGTTTCTGCGGGGAAGGTGAGCCCGGTGTGGGAGGGGGCACGGGTAAAGACTGCGAAGCCATGAGCTGGTCACCTGCTCCTGAGTTGTTGTTTTTTTACGTATTATTTCCGGACATCAGAACAAGATGTTTTTTTTCCGCCAACAGCCCCCCCCCCCCCCCTCTCCTCGTACCCTCCCTCCATCTCATGTCCACCTCTTGTCCCCCCCCCCCTTCCACAGGAGGGCACCCTTGAACTGCAGGCTCAGCTGGAGAGCAGGAAGAAGGGCATGACGGACGGGCGCACCGCATCCCTGGGCCCCCACCGGCCCCCCACCCACGACACCAGTGAGGGGGGCGACGGGGCGGGCGGCAGAACGAGGGGATCCTCCTACCAGCTCTGCTACGCCACCCTGCGGCAGCCCCCGCCCCCCGACACGGGCATGGAGGACTGGGCCAGCAAGCACCTCAACATGCACACGCAGGGCCTGTTCCGCCGGCGCGTCTCCATCGCCAACATGCTGTCCTGGAACCGCGGGTCCATCAAGAAGCCCATGCTGGTCACCAGCAACCGCGCCGTCAGGAAGGAGGCCTGCGAGATGTTCAAGCTGGTGCAGGCCTACATGGGGGACCGGCCGTCGCGCCTGGACCGCCGCCACTGCGCCCTCCTCATCGTCACCAAGTGCTGGGACATGCCGGGGCTGCGGGACGAGCTGTACGTGCAGCTGGTGAGGCAGACCACGGGAAACGCCACGCCCGAGAGCCTGGCGGCGGGCTGGGAGCTGATGGCGGTCAGCATGGCGTTCTTCGCCCCCTCGCCCAAGTTCCGCTGCTACCTGGAGGGCTACATCCAGAGACACACGGAGCCCGTGAGCGACAACAAATGTGAGTCTCAGACTGAGCAACACGGTGGGTCCACTTCCTTTCTTCCGTACCTCTCTGCGTTTTGTTTACGCAGGACAGAGAGATTCACATTTTAGTTCCACTCTCCGTTTTGCTTCGTGTTTACACTCATCCGTTGAGATCCCGAGAGAAAGCCCCGTACTCTCTCTGGATACTCGGAGACTGTCAACCTGGCGCTTGTCTAACTGTCTTATCTTCCGTTTCACAGTGACTCAGTTCATATTGGAGCAGCAGGAACTGAAGCTGAAGAAGAATTCAAAGTCCAGAAAGAAGAGGAAACAGAATACGGATGTGGAGGAAGGTAAATCGTTTGTTCATTGACGTTCCTGTTAGTATAACCGAAAGAACATCCGATCACATTTTTACGAGCGTATATGTTTGACAGAGGCTGGACTGACTCCCTAAGATGTTTTTATACTTTCTTCAAAAGCTGTCCAGAGTCTAAAGCCGTGCAAGCCATTACGAGTCTACGGTATTGCTCCCTGCAGAGTGACCAATCTTGAGTGGACTGGAAAATTCAACTCTGTGCAGTTTGCCGGATGAGCACATGCTGATGTACTTGCGAATGGGTTTAACAGAAAGTTGGCCTGAAAGAAAGAAGAAAAAAAAAGCAATATGTAGGATGAGAATTTGAGAGCGTTCCCTCGGCGCACAATAGACCACACTGTGAGTCATCGCAGTGGCCTCTCTCTGGCCACACGCGTGTCCCACACCCACTTAAAAGGATACCTACTCATCGGCCTCATCGGCCTCTGCCCTCATTAGAGCGGCCCGCAGTCACCAGAGAGAAGCCCCATCATCTCACAGCAGACACAACGGCCTCGCACATTGAACCCCGGTGATTCAGCGTGACTAAGAGGCCAAAGAGGGAGCCCGCTGAATGTTTTCTGACTGACTCTAAAGGTCTTTGGAAGAAAGGAATCTCGAGCAAAGAAAAAAAGTCTCACATGTGCAAAATAAAAACTCAGCAGAATGAGAGCTGCTGTTTGCTTGCTGGATGGAGGAGCTGGGACGTGTACATTGTGTACGACCAGAGCAATGAGCCATCTCAGTGCCTCTTTTCAGGGCAAACCAGGTCCTGGTATGGAAACGGACTCCTTTTGGGCTCAGGGCCCGGTAAATGTGTTTTATTGTTGACTCGTCACATAAACAGTCGCCCAGGATGAGACTAAAGTGGCCTCGTCGACATCCTTTAATGGCTGTGTGCGTCTGTTTGTGGAGCGCACGTGCAGACAGGTGTCGCGATGTCCTCAGTTCAGGACACTCAAGCTCCTAATGAGCTCCTAGTTCTCCTGGGCTTTGGTTGCCTGGTTGTTGTTGTTATTCATGCCATGGAACCCGATGTAAAAATACTCCACCAGTGTGGTTAAAAGTCTTTCTCACCGGGGCAAGAGGTCCAGTTTGACATAATTATAGTCCCACTCGGTCAGATTAGCGGCAGTTGTGACTGGGAGTCACCTGTTTGCCATAAATGTGGAGTTGTATATTAAACATTATGGTGGTATTTGTTACTTTTGGAAAGGCCTCATCTGTTGGGGGGGGGTTTCCCACTGGTTCTGGTAGCTGATGTGGTGGAGAGTCTGGGAACGTGAATCACAGTTACCACAGCAACGAAAGATCTTCATGTGTCCACACGATGACCCAACAATTAGGGGTTTCTGTTGGCTTTCCAAGTGTACAGCGTCTCTTAACCCTTTCGGGAAAGAGGGCCGGTCCCACGAAGGACATTCCGACTGCTCAAAGCACGTTGCTCCTCCCCCGAAATGGATCCGGACCCTCCGGTAGCTACAAAGGGCAGGTAGCAGACAGGCGGCCTCTGTGCTCCTCATTGTCTTTGGAGGCTGATGAATCACCTGCAGGTTAGATGTGCAGGCCGGATCCTGTCTCTACTGCTTTTGTTCAGCAGCGGCAGTAAATCTTCCCTCAGCCTGACAGTTTAGCCGAGCCTGCTCTAATCCCCATATGCCAGAGTGCCACCGTCAACATGCCTCTCCAGTTACCACCGCCTGCCTGTTCTCATACGCTGCGTTACATCTGTGGGAAGAAAATAAACCAGTGATTTTCATGTTTGTGGGAAGGAATTTCAATCATTTATTTGTGTGTGATGCTTACGGGCGTAAAATAGTGTGCGTAGTGTTTCTTGCAGACTTTGTTTCTCAGTCGTTTCCCCTCGTCTGTCACCTTACAGCTCTGCCTATCAGCACGTATGCCAAGTTCTGCTATCGGAAGCTGCAGAAGGTGGCGATCACCGGAGGCAAAAAGGTAAGTCGGAAAAAAGAATAAAGGGGGAGTAAAATGCGGAACTTTCATATGATAAGAAAAAAGTGGACGCATCAGATTGAGAGGCGAGATTCGGCTGGTGAGTCACCCGAGGTGCCGCCACAGAGACGCATAATTACAGGCCCGCTGCCACAGTCGCAGGTAGACACGTAAACACAGAGCCAGTCATGGTGGTGCAGCTGGACACCCTGGCATGATTAGTATCGTACTCCTTGACACACACACACACACACGCACACGCATACACACGGGTACTAAATCTCTTTCCTCACCTCGCCGCCCCAGGGTCTACGTAAGCCCACCTTGGAGGAGATCGACCACAGCAGGCGGGCCATCGTCACTCCCTCCCTGTTCGGCAGCTCTCTGGAGGAGGTGATGGAGAGGCAGAGCGAGCTCTTCCCCGACAGGAAGCTGCCCTGGGTGCAGGTTCAGCTTTCCCAGTACGTCCTGGCCCTGGGCGGGGCTCAGACGGAGGGCATCTTCAGGTGAGACGGACCTTAACTCGGGACCCAAGTTCGGACTTGGACGCCTTCGACTTGAGCAATGTGAGCGAGGAGGAGTCTGTGCAAATAGAGCGGGCGGAGGAGGGGTGTCTCTCTGTACTGTATGTGCTCCTCTGCGTGCCTTGTGTGCATAAACAAGTGTGCGTGTGGTCTCCCGTATCGCCGTATTTCCGAGTGTGTACAGTACACACAGCGGACAGCCGAACAAACACAGCCCGGCTTTGCTCCCAGAGACCAGAGCTGTTTAATTTGATACTTCATAATGTGTGTTTACGTTGCTGCTTAATCTGACAAGCACGTGGGAATTACGCAGCAGTGCGGTTGTGGAGATTTTTTCCCTCCGGCAAAATGTCACATCTTGACTTGTTTTGGGAAAAGTGTTCCCTTTCGTCAAGGGTGCCAGATTTGGATCTCCCTGAGAAACTGTTTTCTATTTGTTCCAAAGAAGTACTACAAACAAAGAACAGAGTGATTTCAGCCACTGGGCTGCATTAGAAGCCAATTGGGTGAACATGAGTAGGGGATTTGCCACAGGGCTCGGACAGTGTGGTGTGTGGAGGTTGAGGTCCCTCTTGTGGCCACTGAGGGTAACTGTTCGTGTTCCTTTTCAGAGTGCCTGGGGACATTGATGAAGTGAACGCCCTGAAGCTCCAGGTGGACCAGTGGAGAATCCCAGAGAATCTCTCCGATCCCAACGTTCCTGGTGAGGGAGGATGTATTCGGAAAATACGCTGCGTGCCGTTATTTATGAATATCATGACAAGAATATCAAGACGTGCCCTGTTCTGCTTTCCGTAAACTGTTTAAATATAACAGTGTTGAATTTAAGTAGAACATTGAGACCAAAGGCAGACATTTAAAAAAATGAAAGGAAAACAGTAGAAGTATATTTCAACAAGATCGGAAAAATCCTCAGGATCAATATCGCTTGTGTTTATGGTGCACGTTGACACTGAGCGTACCTCTGTCTCGTTCAGCCTCTCTGATGAAGCTGTGGTATCGGGAGCTGGAGGAACCTCTCATCCCCATGAACTTCTACAAGCAGTGTGTCAGCAACTGTGACGACCCAGTGGCGGCCATCGCTGTGGTTCAGTCTCTGCCGGAGCTCAACCGGCTGGTGCTCTGCTACTTCATCCACTTCCTGCAGGTAACCAGCATGCTGATAAGCAATTACCCCCAATACACACACACGCACTTATTTGTATATTAATATATTCTACTTAGTCCTAAAGGCCAGGAAACAACAACAATAAGACTTCAGGAACCAAATGAGTTTTCAAATGGTTTTAGTTATAAAACATGAACCTTTATAGAACCTTTCTGTTGTTGTTGGAGCCCAAAAGCACAGGTCACACTTTATTTCTACTGCTCGCTACTTCAATCTCACTTCAAGCTTTTAAACCAATTAAAAAAGAGGATATATTTGAGCTCCGGTTGAATGTGACTCATCAGTTGTTGGCTGCAGGTCAAGGGTCGGCCTGTACGCTCAGCCTCGCTCTCTCTGACTCTCTCTCTCCCTCCCTGTGTCCTGGTTGTCTCCAGGTCTTCGCTCAGCCATCCAACGTGGCTATAACCAAGATGGACGTGAACAACCTGGCCATGGTGATGGCGCCCAACTGCCTGCGGTGCCAATCCGACGACCCGCGGATCATCTTCGAGAACACGCGCAAGGAGATGTCCTTCCTGAGAATGCTAATCGTTCACCTGGAGACGGGCTTCATCGAAGGGGTGGTGTAGGCGCGTCCGGTGACGAATCGCCATCTTCGGTTCTACATTTAGAGTCGTGCGCAAACACTGTTTGGGTTCAGACCACACTGGAAACTCTCCCACTGACATATTGAACACAAGCGGCGTGAAAGCAGCTCTGACTTTGGACCCCTTGTTGTCACATAACACATCTCCTTAGGTTTCACTGTGCTTCTATGAAACGGAAATCAACAGTGGCGGCTTTGAGGTCCCTCCCTTGTGCGTGAGAAAGACATAGCTTTTCCTAACCATGCACAGAGAAATTTAAAATATAGAAAAGTAAAAGAACGTAATGGTGTCTTGTTAGCTTGCTTGTGCTGTTTCGAGTAGCTGTTCTGATGGCTGGTGCCCTGTTATTTCATTTCACGAGGCACAGAAAACCACTCATTTCAAAGGGCGGACTGGAAGGATGGGCCTAAAAGCTCTTTGTGACAGACGGGAAAGTGCTTTGATTTTACAACGCTAAACACTCAGTGAGGCCCGGCGAGAGTCTTGTAATCACAGTTTATGTCATAACGATGTGAGAGGTTGGTAATTCAACTGATAATACTCTATATAAAAAGAAGAATCGTTCAATTTCATTTGCGTTCTCTTTTGTTTGTGTTGTTTGGCTCAGGTCTTCTAATAAAACGGGTGTTGGGTGTGATGACTGTACGTGGCCTCCCTCACGGAGTGAACATTTAGATAATCCACCGCAAACCCCTCTGTAAAAAAAAAATGGAGCATCGTTCAACCTTCAAGCACTATGAGAATGTAGATTAAGCCTTGTGTGTCCCTTCTCTCTGTGCGTGTAAATAAGTTGTCTGTGTAAATAGTATTAACTCTTCTCTAATGATCCAGGCTAAGGGTGAACTTAAACGTAAAGAGCAACAAAGTGATTTTGTAATTAACTGTTCATTTCTCTGCTGTAACCGCCCGCCTTTTGAACATAGGACAGATGCAAACCACTCAGCGTGTGTGCGCGTGTGTCTGTGTGTGTATGCCTGTTTGTGTGCGCGCAAACCATCTTGTTAAAATATGGAACGACTGCCCATAAATAAAGATTTGTTCAATTGTAGATTGGATGCCTTGTGTTTTTATGTTTGCTTTGGTTAGGAAAGAAGGGAATGTCTCTTTGATTCAGAATAAATTCTAAAGAAGTAAATTAAAGTATTTTATAAGTTTAATGTTCAAGTGTGGAGAAAAACATCTTTTCAGGCAGTAATTGAACAATAACATGAGCGCATTTTATTTTTATTTATTATTTATTTTATTGGATATTCTAATGACCTACAACCGAGATCATCGGGACTTTTGCCTACCGAGTATTGTTGAGTTTGATTTATCTGGAATCTTTTGTTAACTTCAGGTGGGATTCAATGGTATTCAAACAGTGAACTGACACCTGAAATGTGGTCTGCTCAATAAATCGCCAAACGAAATGATATAACAAGCTGGTTAAATTATATCACCAGTCTTGAGTTGTCAAATTCACAAATGCGTGTCAGTAGACATTAATCACTTCCTTAATACCTCATTAGACCGTTGCATCATTATTAGTTGGTAAATAAATGGAGTATATTTTAAAGCAGAGGCAGGGACCCTTTGTATTCCTCAACACACCAGATTCTCTCAGAGAGGCCTGTTCAAAGGCTCATTTGTCTTTCAATGTGTTGGACAGAAAATAAAGATCCATTGGTCTCATTAGTTTTGTACCGCTAAAAAAGGCAGTGTCGGGTCAGTTTGAGGCGCACGCCGTCCGTAGGGTTTAAAAGTCTATCCTAACTCTCAAAGTCTTATTCCTTTGTGTCACTTTGCACAAGTGAAATGGTGGGTAAACTCACCCTGTCGCAGGCGTCCCCCTCCGGTGTTTGTCCTCGAACGCACATCACTGCACAAAGCTGCACAAAGCTCCCACTTGCGTCATCTGACTCTCTTCCACCTGTCAGCCACTGGTGGGAACTGTGACCATGGCAACAAGAAAGAGGGCCTGTTAAAGAAAATAAATAACCTGGCAGCCATGATAAAAAAACAAATGACAGTCTCTTTTTTCAAAAAGCTCAATTATTGACAGGTCACGAAAATTGGATTTTTTAAAATGTCGATAAGTGCAATAACATCAGCCCGGCTTCCATTATTGTGCTTGTATGCAACAACGCTTTCAGCACAATATTTGAGTTACAATTTTTGTGAGGGTATCGTTGAGTTTAAAACGTCCCAGTGTGTTTGTATCACATGTGTAAAACTAAGTAAAAGTAAATACTGTACTTTTTAATGTAACAGGTTTATAGATGGGGCAATGGAGAGGCATAAACTCATGAGCTATTAAATTAAGTTTAGCTAGGCCGCTCTCCACTCCTGTAAATAAACAACAGTTACATCGTGTGGACGATGGGTGGCGCTATGCGCACAGAGATATTTAGGAAAAAACCTAAATAAAGAACCCAAACTGACTTATTGGATTCAAATACATAATTTAACTATCAATTTAGAAAGATGGCCTTCATTTGAGTAATGCAACTGTTGAGAATATGAGCTTTTAGACGTCCTAAAAGCTTGATTTGTTCATAAAAAACACATTTGCTTCGACTTAAAAATGTTGACATGCTGACGAAAATACACAAACATAGCATTTTGAGAGCAACTCACTTTATTGTTAGGCGATACATGCGTGAAGGCCCGAACCCGGAGTCGGCGCATGCGCAGTGTGGCGCCACACTGCCCGCGCCGGCGGAGAAAAGCAACTGGGAGAAATTCAACTGCGTGATCTGGAGTCAGACAGGCGGAGTCGGCGGGACCTGCACTTTGGAGGGATTACACGGCGCATTTTACACCCGACCGGACAGAGAGTGACTGGACAACAGGTAGGAACCACCACGCAGCTCCCGAATCGCTTCAGAGTTTCTAATCCCTAATAACGCAGCGAACGAGACGCGTTTGGTGGACGCGTCAACGGTTTCAGATGGAGTGATGCCGCATGTCGGCATCTTGAGTTCAAAACAAACGTGATGAAGTAGCTAATAAAACATGACGGTTGGACATTTCGTTGTTTTACTTGTGCCGTTACTGGCCACTTCTTCGCCGTGTGTCGAGTTATCACTCCGGGTTTTAAAGCGGCTGACGTGGTTTCTCGGTTTCGGGAAGTTTAAGCTCTGCGTTTCCACGCCGCGCGTTTACAAGCGCGAAAAGTATGACAAAGTAGGCCTAGCTCGAGGCCCCGGAGAGCCCGGTGAGTGACAGCTGCACGGCCAATCAGGCGCGAGTGATCCGCCCACACCCGAATCTTTCGGCCACTTACGTTTGCCGAAAGCGCTGACGTCGGCGACGGTGTCTCTTGCGTGACGCCCACTGATTATAAAAGGCTGGACAATAAACCGTTTAAAGCGGCTGACGCGGTCAACACGTTGACGCGTCGAAGAGCGTGAAGCATGCGTGTAGTTAAAATCCAGTTGAGTCTACACAAAGAAATAATATACAGTAAATGAAGCGAGATAATGTTGTCACGCTTTTACAACAATAAAATACCGACCGAGGATTAAATGTATCGTTTCAAAAAAATATATAACTCGTGTAGCATTTAAATTGATCCTCGGTTTCCTGATTTGTGCACCACCTCGCGCGCTGGCGCTACCGCCTTGTCTCTTTTGTGCGGAGGGGGGGGTGGGCATAAACACGCACGTTCACGCGCACATCCATTCCGCACACCGGGCTCTACCGACCAACGCGGGAGCTATGTGACTTGCCGCAGACGGATAACCGGTCGGGTCCCTCCCGCCGTCTCCCATTGTGTCTGTCCGTGCGATCGGCTGACCAGAAAACACGTGGGCCGAGTGGGGCGAAGATATCCGGTTTGAACGTCGCACCGAAAGCCCAGAACTCCCGACTGCCTCCGCGATGGGGGGCCGAGTCAGCTGGAACGCGGACGACAGTAAGACGCTTGTGATGTAACGTTACATTTATATAAACATATTTTTAAAAAATCGTTGGCGTTTTCAACAAAGGGCGACTGTGCACCGGTCCGTCCTCCTGCAAACCCGACAAAGGAGGCGCTGTTATCGGGAGGGAATTGTCGTGTTCAGGGCGATACCGGCAGATTAACCCCCTGCTTATTGGTAGCCTTCATTTATTTCGACCTGGGGGGGCAAATCGGCAGCTGCTGGTGAGACGTTGTTCCGCGAGACAATGACCCAATTTACGACGGAACGTGGTGTTGATCGGGCGAGTGTTAGCTTGGTGCATCACTGGCTGCTAACTGCACCAAAGGGTGCTTCTATGAGGAAGTGAATGATCTGACCAAGTCATTGTGCCTCTCTGACGGGGAGTAGAATAATACTGAGAAATTGTCCATTATAATGCAGATGCTTGGAGGAACCTGTGTGAGGTCGTGCGTAGACCCCCCACCCCCCCACCTCTCCCCTACCCTTGATGTCTCCACTAGTGATCACTGAACATCTGGTATTAGTTGCACATTTCATCACCATTTGAGGTACATGGCTCACCGTAACATGTCAGTTCCCCCCCACACACACACTTTTATACTGTGTCAATGCGTTAAGACGCGGGTGATCTGGAGCTGCGGTGTGTGTGTGTGTGTGTTTTAGACTGGTAATGTGTTCCCACCCTGGACTGCATCATCGTTAACACCAAAATTGCTACTTTGGTGCAAAGCTGTGATTTGGTCCGGTCTTATCTGGTAAAATAACTGTTAGCGATGCCCCGAGCGACTGCAAGATTATCTGTAAAGTCCTTGCTGGTCACGTGTATTGTGTTGTTGGCTCGGCACAAGGTGTGTTTTTCACCAGTGAATGCACAAGGTCATATGGGTGGAGATGTGATTGGTGTGTTTATTGGCTTGTGTGTGTGTGTGTGTGTGTGTGTGTACACAGGAAGGGAGCCTTGATGTGGGAAGTATGAGTAAGACGCCCCCTAACAGAAGAGGGATATCTTTTGAGGTGGGAGCTCAGCTTGAGGCCAGAGACAGCCACAAAAACTGGTGAGTCATGGCCTCGCTCATTCCTCCCCCATCCCTGGAGCACTTCACTTCCCTCACCCTGCCTCATCAATTCCCATTCTGTTCCATTTTGGACCCGGGTCAGCCTTTCTGTAGGTCCACCAATCGGTAGAAGAACGGAGTGAAAAAAGCCACCCGGCCCTTTCATTGATGATTCTGCCGGCAGAAAGCGGCTGGCGATGACGCAGCCTTTGATCTGGATTGATAATGGACAGTAAAAAAAAAAAAATCAGACCGTTAAATCATATAAATGGTGATAATGTTTTGGCTATGCTAAATGCATAAATCAAGAGTCATTGTGACCGAAGGAAAGCTGTTAATCTTGCTCCTCCCCGTGTCGCTATGCTGCCTCAGCACGCCGTCTTCCCAACTTCAGCTGTGTTTAACGACTCATTGACTTTCTTTGTTTGGCATTTTCTGCTGACCTCATTATCTTACCAAATACAGGATGAGCAACCTGAACCGTCTCCCTGTCCACTTGGAGATTATTGAGTTTCTCTTGCCGTGCAGGTATGCAGCCAACATAGAGAGGGTTGACTACGAAGGTGAGAAAGTGCTGATCCATTACCGCCAGTGGAGCCACCGCTACGACGAGTGGTTTGAGTGGACCAGTCCCTACCTGAGGCCGGTGGAGAGGGTTCAGCTGCGGCGGCAGGGCCTTAACGACGACGCCGGCGAACCTGTAAGCATGTCAACGCTTCTTCCGCCTGCTTTGACTTTGTATTAAAAATGTCCTTTTTAATACAGCGTGGCTGTGGTCTGTCCCTAATCGAGCGTCTCCCGTCTTTTTTCCCAGGGCTTTCATGTGAACGACAAGGTTCTGGCTAGCTGGTCCGACTGCCGCTTCTACCCCGCTAAGGTCATTTCGGTCAATAAAGATGGTGGGTCTACTTCAATACACACAATTTAAAATATATTTTAATAGTTCCAATAATTTTGAGGAGATTTCTTTTTTGTAGCACAATAACAATCGTTCTGCTATTATCAAATATGTGTGGTTTCAATACAAGGATGTTTAATACTAAGCACCGGAAATGTTGTTTTAAAAAGGAAGCTGTGGCATTTAATAGCAACATTACCTTTTCTCTTACTGGCACAACAAAGTGAAACTGTAATCATAAATGCTGCAAAAACAGCAAAAACAGTTCCAAAACAGAAATAGATTGAATGGGCTACTGGAGTGGCTGCCGGCTCTCGTGTAAAACGTGTCCTCCTTTGTCCACCTCAGCATCCTACACTGTGAAGTTCTACGATGGTGTGATCCAGACAGTGAAGGGGATACACGTGAAGCCTTTTATTAAAGAGGTAAATGTAATAACTGCGCACAAGCAGCCATGTTATGTGCCATTTGATTGTTTCCTCAACCCCCCCCCACTCTGTCGTGTCTGCAAATAGAGAGGTGGTGTTGGTGGAGGAGGGAAGCCTCGGTCCTCTGAAAGGACCATGGTCCGGAGGGCCCCGAACCGCAGGGACAGGAGGCCTCAGGAGAACGGGGGTCCCAAGAACAAGCGCGCCAGACGCAGCACGTCCGACCAGGAGGAGGACAGCAACAGCGAGGACGAGGAGCGGGATGAGCGCACGGTCAACGAGAAGAACAAGAAAGCAAACGGTGAGGTGGGGGCCGCACCCACCGTCAAGCAGGAAGAGGAAATATCCGTGCAAGCAGAGCCCAACGAGCCCGCGGATGTTGAAAAGGGAGCAGGACTCACAAACGGAGTGAAGGTGGAAGAAGATGGCGACGAGCCCACCGAGGAGAAGTGTCTCCTCAACGGAGAGGTAAAAAAGGAGGAGGTGGAAACGGAACAGAGTGGAACAAAGCCATACACCGCGTCGCCCAAGCCATACACAGAGTTGCCCACTCAGACGCCAGCACAGATGGAGCAGGGGCCCGTCACTATGACAACCGCCGAATCCAATGGGGACGCGGAGCAGAAGCCGAGCGGCCAATCGGAAAGCGCCCAGCCTGCGGCGGATGTGCCGCCCCCCAAGCCTGTGAAACGTGGGTGTTGATGTAGTCGGTTAGCACAGATGTCACCGGTTCTGTAGGAAAATGGGGCATATTTTACGGCCTAAGCGGATAAATTAATTTCTTTCTTTTGCCCTCTGTAGCGGCCAGGAAACAGGGTTTCCACAACCCCAACAGATTCAGCAGAGAACCACGTGAGTACAACGCCACGCGTGGAGCCCTCGTTCGCATTCTGCGCTGTACGTTTTCTTTACGCACCGCTCCTTGTTTCAGTGTACCGGGTCATCAAAAACCAACCTCCCCCCGTCTTGTCCATCAACCTCGACCACAACCCGTTTAAGTGCAGCGCTCCGGGCTGCACCAAGTCCTTCCGGAAGGCCAAGCTGCTGCACTACCACATGAAATATTACCACGGCGAGGAGCAGCCTGCGGAGGGCGAGCACAGCCCCACCAGGAGCGTCCAGACCAGGGCGTCGGAGAAACAGGCTCCACCCGCCGGCTTGGAAGGCCCCAAGAGAAGGCGCACAATCTCCGCCTCAATGCGTGAGTTCCTCTCACTCAGATCCTGGTGTGAAGTAACGTTTTTATCGGGAATCGGATGCGTGGTACGCTGGTGACCAGCGCGACCAGAAATGCCGATTCATGTGATGAGCATTCTCTTCTTGACCAAGACTGCGTTGTAAATATTGCGCTCCATGTAGGTTTCAGGCTTCTTTGACCTCTTATTTGACGTTGTTTTGTTAAATCTTTTCCTCAGAGTCGGTCGTGCCTGGCTCGGCTCCCCGTGGAGAGGTGAAGGCTGCGGGCAGGCGCACGTCGGCCCCGCCTGCAGTCAGCACCCAGGGCCATCAGCAGAGGGCGCTAATGAGGGAGAAGAGCAAGGAGAACCAGCTGGACAGGAACGGGTGCCAGCAGCAGCAGGACAAGGACTCGGAACGGAGCGGCTTTGACGTTGGTGCGTATCGTGCGGTGTGAGTGAGAAGATGACTAAATATTGAGGCCACGCTGGCACGCGGCTTAACTCGCTACTTGGCGGGTCCCCAGGGTCCGTAAAAGAAAAGCTGAAAGAGAAACCCAAACAGAAGGACTTCCTCCGCATCAAACTGAAGAAGAAGAAGAAGAATAAAAAGAAGGGCAAGTCTGGTAAGAACGCGCCGCCTGGCTCCAGAACCGCGTCCCGTATCTGCTGCTCTGCATGTGCACCCACTGTGACGTTGTGCAAAGCGTCTATCCTGCAAAGCAAAGAGTCCTCCATCCCCTCCTCTTGGTGCGGTGGCTGAGCCTTGGTGTGTGGGAGAAGTGTTACATCTGTCGCTGGCCTCTTGTCGCACCATCATGCCAAGGCGGGAAGCTTCGTTTCTTTAGCAGCATAGCTCCTCCCCCTTGGCCGTGGCAGCCAGATGGCGTCGTGGTACTAATATCATCTAAACCAAACTCCAATCGCACACCCTTCTCTATTTGGCGGTCACATGTACGTGTAGTATATTTGCGCGTTGATTACTTACCTACAATATTAAAATGCCCTTAATGTGGCCCGGCATGGATTTCCAGTTAAGTGTTTTTTTTTGGTGCCACAGTTTGTCGTACCCCACCCATCCCCCCTCCCCGAAGGGCATTTGTTTAGCATTTTCAAAGTTGACATTTTGTTCTACATCTGCTTCCCCCTCCCTCCCTCCCCCCCCCTCCCCTGTATTGACAGACTACACAGGTAGTGAGGAGAATATTGACATCTCAGTATTGGGTCTTGAGTCCAAATTGAATTTGCCACTCAAATTCCCCCCCTCACACAATCACAAGCCTGAGGCCCACGCCAGCAGGCCCGGATACAGCTACTCACAGCAGATACATGTGGATGGTGGGTATCTGTGTGTGTGTGTGTGTGTGTGTACTAGCTTGTTGGTGTGACTGTACTTGGCTTCCTCTCCCCTCCATGTTTCTATTCCCTCTGGATTCAATCCACCACGTTGTTGTAGTTATGTGCATCATACCTGTTCACTTGTAAAAGTAGCTGCTGTTGCAAATGAAACAAATGACTCTTGGTCGATTGAATCCTGAGCTCTTCTCTGCTGTTACGGCTTGCTTCATTGTTTCATCGCCAAATATTCGTTGTAACGTGCATTGTGCTAAAGGTCCTAAGCGGTTGAAGAACCGACGTTGAGCTAAATCCTGGTTATAATTGTGTCGTTTTCCCAATAACCGCGTTTGTTCGCGTAGACGAGGACAGCGTCAGTGACTGGTCCACGGACAGCTGTGGGTGGAGCGACGACGACTTTGGGGTGGATTTGGACGTAACCACGCCCCCCCTGAGTGTGGACTCCGGTGCCGTGGACACAAGTGACCAAGAGATAGTGCGGTGCATCTGTGAGGTGGAGGAGGAGAACGACTTTATGATTCAGGTGATTCACCTATAGACCGTTTAATGAAGCGTAGCGAGCTGCTACTTTATTTTTAAGTCTTGTTGCATTTCTATAAAACGTGCGTGTGTCCTTCCCTCAGTGTGAGGACTGTTTGTGCTGGCAGCATGGCACCTGCATGGGCCTGCTGGAAGACAACGTTCCAGACCGGTACACCTGCCACATCTGCAGAGACCCACCAGGTGAGGGAATCATGCATAATTCAAATTTCAGGACATCATAACATCTGTTTGGCTATTCTGGTAGAGAGCACTGCAGGCAGCCGCCATCTAGTGGACAATAAGAAAATGGACAGGGTTAAGTCGCTTTTTAATCTAAACTTAAGGCTGGTAATTTGTGCAATAAATTCACTGCAACGGTTTGGTTATTTCAAAGCTGCGTCAAACGCTGAGCTCAAGATGACTCTTCAAAGCTTCACATTTAATTGCAACATTAATAACTAGTATTTTAAAAAGAAATTAATTGATTATTGCTCAATATACTGTCATTATTGAGGTAATAAAAGTGTATAAAAATGTAAACTTTCTGAATTCTGCAGAGGCTCTTGTTTACCTGCTGGTGCGTCTTGCGGTTCAACATCTGCTGTCTGTTGGTTATTTCCAGGTCAGAGGCAGAGTCTGCGCTACTGGTACGATCGAGAGTGGCTGAGCAACGGCCACATGTACGGCTTGTCCTTCCTGGAGGAGAACTACTCGCACCAAAACGCCAAGAAGATCACCACCACCCACCAGCTGCTGGGAGACGTGCACCACGTGGTGGAGATTCTCAACGGACTGCAGCTCAAGATGAGCGTCCTGCAGTAAGTGCGACGGGCCTTCTGTTATCCACGCTGAGGTCGACGTAAACGGGGATCGGGACCGAAGCGACTGTTTGCACGTCCCGTTTCTACCAAACGTTTCTTACACGTATCTTTTTTCTTGGGCTTTTCTTCCCCCCCCCCCTCCCAGGAGCAACACGCACCCAGACCTGCAGCTGTGGCGGCAGCCCTGGAAGCACCCGGAGAGGTCGCGGAGCGTCTCGTGTCGGGGCACTGACGCCGCTCCGTCTCCGGCGACTCCGGACGAGGACATGAGCCGCGGCGAGATCTTGATGTCCAACGCGCTGGAGAAGCTGAGCCGGGCGGCCACGGCCGCCGCCGCCGCCTCCTCCTCGTCCGGCTCCACCTTCCCGTCCTTCCAGCACTCGTACATTACCAGCGAACATTGCTACCAGAAGCCGAGGGCATACTACCCGGCGGTGGAGCAGAGGCTGGTGGTGGAGACCCGACAGGGCTCGGAGCTGGAGGACAGCATGAGGAGCACGGAGGAGCTGTTGGAGCGCGAGCAGCGCTACGGAAGCTTGCTGGAGACGGACAAGCCCAAATCCACAGGCACCAACTACAAGGTGAGGGCCGTCCTCGGACAAGGAGGGGAGACGTAAAGGCTGCATGCCGCAGGAACCCAAACCGTCCCACTGGAAGCTCGTCAAAACACATGATTCATGTTCAAATGTAGTGGTGGACGTTATGGCCAAATATTCATATCACGGTATCTTGTATCATTCTGACGGTATCCCAGTATATCACGGTATCTTTTTTATTTATTTTTTCCTCGAGTAAACGCACGTGCATCTCTGGATCTCATTGTTCCTCTTTTCATGTAGCGACAGCTTCTTACCCAGAGCCGGCATTCAGTTCCACAGGGTGATTTTATAAATGTACAATTATTAGTGTTAGAAATTGTTTCTTTCGCAAACTGGGTCTGTGTTTTACGCTGTTAAAGAGCGTTTGTTGAGGGTTATTAATTGTATGTTAGAACCATGACTCTATCTCAATAGACCCATTATGACTGTGTGTGAAAAACTCCTACTGTAAGGAAATGTGGTACCGGTATGCCGCCCAGCCCTATTTAAATATACGTTGTTGTTTTTTTTTTTAATGAAATGTCTCTGTACGAGAATATCAGAATCCCCAGTTGCTATTATTGGGGAGGAAAGCAATAAACCAGAAGCTCTCAGAATTCCAGAGTACTGCATATTTTTAATTATTTTAAGATTCAGTGAATGAAATAATTAAAGCTGCTCAATGTACTTAACAAGATTTATAATCTCAGCTTAACTCCCTCCTGCTGTTACTGGCACAGGAGGCACTTTTGTAGTCTAATTTCTTTTGTGTGCCGTGAGTTGACTTCCCTTTTACATTACTAATTGCAGATTGGGAAACGGGTCATTTTTAATTGGGAAGTCTGAGTGACTCCAGCGACTGGCCGTTTTGATAGTCCTGTCCTGACCGTTTCCCCTGAATGTCTCCAGGCTTCAATCGGCGGCTCTTGGTCCCAGGCTGAGACTAGAGAAGAGGGCGGACGAGGTCCTGGGGAGGCGGCCGATAACAGCCGGCAACATCAACAAAGGCAGATCAACCTCCTGAACCACATAGACTCGGTCCAGGACGAGGTCTCGCACAGGATGGACTTCATTGAGAGGGAGCTGGACGGTAAGACCTGCTCACCGTGTCTCTTTAGCATAATACACCACTTTGAGCTTTGATATGAGACCTGTGGCTTGCATCCGGGCCCACAATGTTTATAAATAGCAGTCAGCTGCTGGAAACGTTCAGTTTCTATGCAACTTCAGCTGTGAGATCTCCACCAGCTGTCATTCTGTATTAGCTAGCAGATATGGCTTAAAGGTGAAGGGGAAGATCATCTGCTCCTACTGAGCAGTAGTGCTGGCAGTGTATCAGAAGTCCTGTCATTTCTTTGCTGAGCATTGCTTTGATGTTTTTAGCTTTGCTGCGGTGGCAGTAAAACTAGGCTGCAAAGCATTTGTCCCTCTTTTTTTATTAGACCTGTGAACTACGGAGCCGTTAAAGGCTTTAACGAGGTTGCTCTTCCTGATTAATTAACTGGAAACGCGGGTCAGGCACACGTGTACAATTTTGAGTAACCACTCCGTGTTGAGCACTCAACATGCACACGTTTGCTTTTCGTGAATCCGTGATATTATTCAACAGGGCTGCGCACGTTGTCCAACTCCGGTGCTCGAGGGGGACTGCGTCAAACCTGTGTTGCACTGAAGAGGCCTGCTGGAACGTTCCCAACGCGGGGGAGTCTTCAACACACCTGTACTCAGGCTAACCTCTGCTCCTTTGCCCCCCCCCCCCCCCCCCCCCCGCAGTGCTGGAGAGCTGGCTGGACTACACCGGGGAGCTGGAGCCTCCTGACCCGTTGGCCCGTCTGCCTCAGCTCAAGCAACGCATGAAGCGGCTGCTGACACAGCTGGGAAAGGTGCAGCAGATCGCGCTGTACAGCTCCACATGAGGGCGCCGGAGAGCAGCCACGGCGCGCAGGAGCAGAGCGGCGGCGGAAAGCCCGCCGCTGGTGTCCGGCTGCACGAGACAGCCACGTTAATGCGAGTGGAAGACCCAGATTATCCGGCGCAGACTCCCGCAGCCGGTTTCTCCTCTTACGAAACGGTTGTGCGTGGTGTGAGTTCGATGCCACAGCCAGCCGGTGTGATGTGATGTATCAGCAGTTATGTGGACGCGGGAAGAGTCGGCAGCATAAATCAGGATGAAACACAAAAAGTAACCTCGTAAATGCAGGAGAAAATCCTTTTGGACCAGATTAAACTTCTATGGTTCCCATGCAACTCTAAACCTAACGAATGCCTTTAGTCTGAGCTACTGCTTACGGTTGCCCTGTCTCTCTCTCTCTCAGTGCACAGTGCTTTACACGCAGAAGCTTTATATTCAACGATTGCAATTGAGTTCCCGAACCTCTCTGCAATAGTTTTTTGAACATGTTTTCAAAAGGCCTCTTTTTTTTTTTTTTGCATCAACAATGTCCCAAAGTTCCATTTTAGTTCACCCGCCATGACACGACGCATTTAAACTGAAAAAAAGACATCCAGTATGTAAGCACACTGTTACAAGCAGTCCTCACAGATAATTTGTTCAGTTTTTTTGGATCTACTCAAGCGTTTTGTTTTCTACTGCACTGTGAAGTTATTTCTGTCTGGAATCAAAAGCATCTTATTTTCAGTAACGCGTGTGATTTCTGTTTTTTGTCTGAAGCTGTAACGCTTCTTTTCGAACGGTCCTCTCGTGAGTGTTTGGCTTTTATAAGTTTATCTTTGTTTGTTTGTCACCGCATCCTTTTCCTTGGATTTACTGTTCGCATCGTTGTTGCTGTAGCACTTGGCCCATGATTCACTGAGAACTGTAATGTGGTCTCGTCTTTTCTTGAGCTAGGCTCATGTGCTTTGTCAGTGACATACTACTCCGAAGACGTGCAAATGTATGTTCTTTTTCTGTTCCATTTCTTCTGCTTTTACTTCCAGTATTTGGTTCTTTGTAAATATGTTATTCAAAAATGAGCTCTTTGTCGAGAACATTCGCTCCAAATTCATTTATTGTATGCTACTGTACTGTAAGTGTCTGGCTTAGAAGCAGGGAAATGTCAAACAATGCAAACCGATCTGTTGGTACATAAATAAACTATCATTGTTATTAATCACTACAGGCATATTCTTGGCTATTTTCTCAGGAATTTAATGAAAAATGTTCTTTCTCTCTCAAAACACCAGCAGGCAGTGAACGCTTGACTCACTGGGAGTTTGATGTAACATGTTTTCTCCACTGCCTTTTTGTGCTCTTACACAATCAGATTGAGGGCAGGAGGCGTCTTGAAAGGCCGGTGCTTGTGACTGAGATTTTTACAAACTAGAGGGAACACTGCTGATGTGTCACTGAGCAAGGCATTCGCCTGCTTGCCAAAAGCAGACCTGGTTGCACTGGGGTGTTGCAGTTTAGAGGATTTAATAAATTGGGACGGACCTATTTGGGGGTAAAGCAAAAAGATTACATGTATATTTTGATGTAATGTTATTACGTAGCCGATTTGGACGGTTACATAATCAGATTGAAAATAGAAACTTAAGCCAGCATAATGTGCTGTTTTATCAAGGCGATGTTTACAGTGTCGAGTCAACGTCATCGTTGGATTGTTATCATGAAGTTTGTTGAAAAAGACAACTTTGAAATTAAAAATAAATGCAATTATCTTATCAAAAGTGTCTACTAATTACAATTTCACCCAAGACAAAAGCAGCTCTTGCCCATTGCTGAAATCAAATTATTATATTCAGCATAACACGTGCATTACGGTTGTTAGTACAGTTTAGAGACACTTGTTTGTTTTTTACACACATTTCAGAACAGATTACAGGTATTCTACATTTTGCTTCCCCTCGTTCTTCGAGGTCTCATTTGGGAGCCGAGTGAGACCTCCTGTCACCCGCGCCCGTCTGTGCGACGCCTCTTCTCATTGGCTCCGCGGCGTCTGCGTCGCAGCGTGTAGCTCCGCCCACAGTGATCGAAATACTAGCCGAGGCAGAGGAAGCGGCGGACGAGAGCAGCGTGAACTCTACAGCCAAATACGCGCATTCCACAATACACTCGCAGAGGAATTCGCCGGAAGACAGCGGACGCTTCATATATATATTTGTTTTACCGACGCGGTAAGTCCCAAACCCGCGTCTTCGCGGTGCTATCCCGCCCGCTTACCGACCGGCAGATGTGCCCGATGCTCACAGGAGATTATCTGCGCTCGCTGGATGGCGACCTGTTCACGGCGCTGCTCCGCCACCCGACTCGCTGCTGCCGGAACCTCAACGAGCCGCGGGGTTGTACTTCGTTTAAAAACAAAACACGCGTTTGAAAAACGACGTCGGTACACGAGGGAGCGCGAGCGAATTCGGTTCATTTCGAGGAGAGAAAAAAAAAAAGCTGCAGTTCAATTGAATCGAGTTCATGCGACATGACGATCGTTCCCACCGCGTATCTCTTCATCCCGCCGGTGCGGAGCGCGTCGGTGTTACTCCGTTCTGCGCTGCCTTTTTGTATACCTGCTATATAATACAACTTGTACCGAGACGAGGTCTGTCACGATGCGCTGCACCGCGATTCACCGACTGTTGTCGAATATCTCCGAGCGTGATTGATTTTAAGACCGTGAATGCAGCTCAAACTTCAAGCCTGAAACCCCGTCGGAACAACGTTAGCTAGTGTCCTCAAGTAGCGCTAAGTTAGCAGTTTTAGGTCATAAACTCATACATATACATCATGTTTTCCTTTTTTGGTTTATTGGAATACATATATATTTTTTTCCCTTCGGGGTTAAATTTAGTCAGGAGTTTGAACCGGAAGCCTGGAAGCTCCGGAGGCCCGTCGCTGTGTGATCGATGTGCGGCTTGTCGCCTCTCATGGAGTCATGTTCTGCCCCCCCCCCCCAGATTCCCCCTTTTCTGGTTGTGTCTTTTTTTGGGATTGCCTTTGTTAACGGAAGGGATCGGAAGTTGCGTGCCTATATAAAACATCCAGAGGTTGTTGCATGACATGATCTGAGTGTGTTTTTGTGGGAGATAAGGTACCTTAACTACGACCAGATGGCCGACGCCTTTCCCGTCGGGTTTCACGATGAAAATCCCTTCTTCGACGCCAGCAGTGATCGTAAACTCATTGAGGCAGCTGCCGCTGTCGGGGTCATCAGCGTCTGATGCTCTGATGGTCACCACCGTGTGTCCCAATGGGGTGTCCTCCGATAGAGTGTGACCGCCATACTGCACTCAAACAATAGAAACATGGGAGAAGATCAACCCAAACAGCACGAGAAACTCCTATGCAGAGGAGGGTGTCCCGATTGCTTACGTTGTTTCGCCTCGAAATGGGGCAACTCCGTTGGTGGAGGTCGATGACTTTGACGACAACCTTACATTCTGTGCTGAACCTTGACACAAAAAAGCACGTGA